CCGGCCAAGCGCAAGACAGCTGTGGCTGTGCGCTCCAGCGAAGACGATCGGCAGGGTCCCGAAGGCCTCGCGGAGCTCGTGGCCTTGGCTGAGCAACTGCTTCGGCAGCCCGAACCGCAGCAGGTGGCTCTCCTCGCGCAGCGGCTTCAGGCTTTTGCTGCTAACGAGCTCCGCCGAGGTGCTGTGCTCTCGGCCCCAGCTGTCCAGGCCTTCGTGAAGGTTGCAGATGCCGGCGAGTCGCTGCGGGGAGGCGCCGAGAAGCAGCTTCGCTGGGCGGCCGGCGCTGCCGCATCGCTTCTTCTGACTTACAGCGTCAGCCTGCAGCCGGCCGTGGCGGCGGATGCCGTCAACTATTCCGATTTCATGGAGTCCGTGAACCGCGGTGATGTTGAGATGGTGCGTGTCCAGGATGACCAGCTTTCCGCCCAGTACACCACCAAGGACGGCGCTCGTCACGAGGTGAACTTGATCCCCAATGGACAGATTCAGGACCAGTTGTTCAACAGTCTTGCGGAGAAGAAGGTGGATGTGGTCATGCAGACCCCTGGAGCCAACAGTGGTGGGCCCCTGGACTTCCTGGCACGCTTCGCCGGCCCCATCGCCTGGCTGATCGCAGGACTTCTTGTTCTCTTCGGAGGCGCTGGCATGGGAGGACCCGCAGGACCTGGCGGCCCGGGCGGAAACCCGTTCGAGCTCGGCAAGTCCAAGGCTCGGATCATCAAGGATGGGGACACCAAAGTGAAATTCGCAGACGTCGCGGGATGCGATGGGGCCAAGCAGGAGCTTGTGGAGGTCGTCGACTTCCTGAAGAACACCTCGCGCTACTCAGAGCTCGGCGCCAAGATCCCCAAGGGTGCCCTCTTGGTTGGGCCACCGGGTACCGGAAAAACGTTGCTTGCAAAGGCAGTGGCCGGTGAGGCGGGCGTTCCCTTCTTCAGCATCTCGGCATCGGAGTTCGTTGAGATCTTCGCTGGGATCGGCGCCTCGCGTGTGCGTGACCTCTTCGAGCAGGCGAAGAAGTCAGCCCCCTGCATCATCTTCATCGACGAGATTGATGCGGTGGGCCGCCAGCGCAGTGCCGGCTTCGGCCAGGGCAACGACGAGCGAGAGCAGACAGTGAACCAGCTGCTCACGGAGATGGACGGTTTCGAAGCGAACAAGGGCGTCGTGGTAATTGCTGCCACGAACCGAGCCGACATCCTGGACCAAGCCTTGGTGCGGCCAGGACGCTTCGATCGCCAAATTCAGGTGGATCCTCCCGACGTCCAGGGCCGCTCCGAGATCTTGAAGGTCCACGCCAAGGGCAAGAACCTGGCAGCTGGTGTTGACCTCGCAGCCATTGCCCGGCAGACCCCCGGCATGTCTGGCGCGGACCTCGCCAACCTCCTGAACGAGGGTGCCATCGTCGCGGCGCGCCAGAACAAGGCGGAGATCGACTCTGACGACATCTTCAATGCACTGGAGCGCATTGCTATTGGCTTGGAGAAGAAGGATGCCGTCATGTCCGAGCAGAAGAAGAGGCTGGTGGCATACCACGAGGCCGGTCACGCCATCCTGGGTGCATTGATGAACGACTATGATGTCGTGGCGAAGATCAGCATCGTTCCTCGTGGGCCTGCCGGCGGCGTCACGATCTTCATGCCCTCAGAGGAAAGGCTCAATTCCGGTCTCTACTCGAAGGAGTTCCTGGAGAATCGCATGTGCGTGGCGCTGGGCGGGCGCCTGGCCGAGGAGATCATCAACGGCAGGGACAACGTGACGACGGGGGCGTCGAACGACTTCCAGCAGTGTACGCAAGTAGCGAAGCAGATGGTCATGTCGCTGGGCATGTCCCCGGAGATTGGCCAGCGGCTCCTCGGAGGACAGCAGGGCGGTGGCCCTTTCATGGGCCGCGACTTCATGGGCCAGGGTGCTCCTCCCATGTCTCAAGCACTGAAGCAGAAGGTGGACGCCGAGGTCAAGCGTATCGTGGACGAGCAGTATCAGCGTGGCATGAAGCTCCTGCGCGACAATATGTATCTCCTGGATGAGCTTGCCAAGCAGCTCATGGCGGAGGAAAAGGTCTCCGGCGAGCAGCTGATGAAGCTGATCAACAAAGCAGCTGCCGAAGGAAAGCTCGTCATGGGCAACACGAAGATGGCAGTTGCCGCCTACACAGGTGAGGTGGTCGAGACAACCGCCGAGGTCTCCATGCCTCGTAAGACACAGTGCCTGCATCCGGACAAGCCGATGATGTTTGCTTGTGCCGACTGCCCTCGCCGCGGCTTCTGCGGCTCGACGCGTGCTTTGCCACAGGGTGGCAAGGCCGCTCGCAGCGCTGTTGCAAGGCTTGGGCTGGCAACGCCTGAGACTGAGAGCCGGGAGTCCACCAGCGAGGAGGTCCTGCGCCGAGTGAAGGACATGGCCGGCGAGGTCTCCACCGGGGCTGCGCTGCCCGACACCGTCGTGAAGCACGCTGCTGTGCAGGTCCTGGCGGCTCTCGCTGCCACCGCGGCACCGTTGGCAGCCAAGGCTGACGATGTGCCAGCACTGCAGTCCATGGGCACACCGCAGATGCAGATGCAGCAGCCGGGTGGAGGGGGCTTCGCCAGTGTCAGCGGGCGTGTGACCTACTCTCGTCTCCTCGAGTTCGTGGATGAGGGTTCTGTGAAGCGCGTGGACTTCTACGACCTTGGCCGCACAGCTGTGGCCACCGTATCTGTGGGTGGCCGCGAGCAGCAGCTTGTTTGCGATCTTCCCGGAGCCACCACAGGCCTTATCGAGAAGCTGACAGCCAAGGGTATCTCCATTGAGGTCCATCAGCCGGAGAAGCCAAGTCCTTTGTTCAACGTCCTGGGTGATGTTGCCCTCCCCCTCCTGCTCATCGCAGGCCTGCTGTTCCTGCGCTCTCAGGCCCCCGGAGGTGGTGGCGGCATCCCAGGCTTCGGCAACCAAGGCCAGGCCAAGATCATGATCACGCCTGAAACCGGCGTGAAGTTCGAAGACGTGGCTGGCATCGACGAGGCAAAGGAAGAGCTTATGGAGATTGTGGACTTCTTGAAGGCACCCGAGAGGTTTGTGAAGGTCGGGGCAAAGATCCCTCGCGGGGTGCTGTTGACAGGACCCCCCGGCACCGGCAAGACGCTGATGGCCAAGGCATTGGCGGGTGAGTCCGGCGTGCCCTTCATTCAGTCGTCCGCATCGGAGTTCATCGAGCTTTTCGTCGGTGTGGGCGCCTCCCGGGTGCGAGACATCTTCAAGCAGGCCAAGGAGAAGGCTCCATGCATCGTGTTCATCGATGAGATTGATGCAATCGGTCGCCAGCGCGGGGCCGGCATGGGTGGCGGCAACGACGAGCGTGAGCAGACACTGAATCAGATCCTCACGGAGATGGACGGCTTCGAGGGCAACAGCGGTGTGATCGTGGTCGCGGCCACGAACAGGTCCGACATCCTCGACAATGCCTTGTTGCGTCCTGGCCGTTTCGATCGCCGTGTGCAGGTCGGTCTCCCGGATGTCAAGGGCCGTGCCCAGATCCTCGAGGTCCATGTCAAGAACAAGAAGCTCGACGGAGAGATCACCCTCATGGACATCGCCAAGCGCACCGCCGGCTTCTCTGGTGCTGACCTGGAGAATCTGATGAACGAGTCGGCCATCCTTGCAGCCCGGCGCAACAAGACGGCCATCAGCATGGATGAGATCAACGATGCCACCGACCGGGTCATCGCCGGCCTCGAGGGACGTGCACTGCAGGACAACGCGGCCAAGAAGCTTATTGCCTACCACGAGGCAGGACATGCCATCGTCGGAACCCTGCTTCCGTACCATGATCCCGTCAACAAGGTGACCTTGATCCCACGTGGGCAGGCCAAGGGCCTCACATGGTTCACGCCCGGCGAGGACCAGAGCCTCATCTCTGCCGCCATGCTGAAGGCCCGTATTGCCGGCGCCCTGGGCGGACGGGCCGCCGAACAGCTGGTCTTCGGAAGCAGCCAGGTGACCACGGGTGCCGGCGGCGACCTCCAGCAGGTGGAGCGCATGGCCCGGGCAATGGTCACCCAGTTTGGCATGTCCGAGGTCGGTTCGCTGGCCATCGATGACGGCGGCTTCATGGGCCCCGACTACTCGGAGCAGCTCAGCGAGAAGATCGACCAGGCCATCAAGAACATCTCGGATGATTGCTACCTCAACGCACTGAACATCCTGATGACCAACCGCGCGTGCCTGGATTTCGTTGCCGACGAGCTGACAGAGAAGGAGACCATGACTGGCGATCGCCTGCGGGAGATCATCGCCGAGTACACGGAGATCCCTGCCAAGCTCGCGGCTGTGTAAGGGCTCTGTGCTGGCCACGGTTTGTGCATGCCGACGGTGGGAATTCGGATTAGTGGCGGGGCTATTTAAGGTTGCCCCGGGACGGTGTCAGTGTCACTGAAACCTGGCATTTCGGGATGTCAAGTAGCCTGACACCGTAATTCGTCTGTGAGCTGCAGGCTCAAAATGCTCCCTCCAGATCAGAAAGTCCTGTGCAGTAGTTTCTGGATAGAGCTAATCTGCAATGCGGACCAAAAAGGTCGTAGTTGCAGGTGATCTTCGTCGACTCTTATGAATTTTCTGACCCGCTGTACAGCCCAAGAGGTCCCAAACAAAGGTTTTGATGCCGCGTTTCAAAGATTTTCGGCGGAGGGTCCACCGAACTCCGGTTCCGGGGCTAACGCTAAGGAGAGTCCGCAAGGCAGTCGAAGCTTGAGTGCCCCAAGATCGGTTGACCCTTGTTGCCAGTGCAGAATGCCACTGGCGCATTCCGTTCTGCAAGACACTATAGTCTTCCTCTCCTGCACACCGCAGCCCGCGACAAAAGTCTGCATTGCCTCCGTCTTCGGATGCACCTGACAGTTGCGCGCTTTGCGTCGCGCGTGCAGATGACACCTTTGAATTCGCGCGTCTTCTCTGGCTCTGACAGGAGTCGAAACCCAGAAGTCTTTCCATCAGCTCGAAGCCCAACTTTCGGACGCCGCGACATGGCGGTTGTCAGCAAGATGGCTCGGTCAAAAGGCCGCGTAGCGGTAGGTGGCGCCGTGGCTGCTGCCGCGCTGCTGGCAGCCCCGAGCTTCCTTGCTCCAGGACAGGATGTCCCCCGTCAGATGCAACTGCAGACGCACCAGGTCAGCACAGCTTCGGCTGGTGACGAGGCCAGGAACCTGAACATGGCAGCAGCAGGTGCCAGCGCCATGAGCATGGGCGCAGTCGCTGCTCTGGGGCCCCGCCGTACAGCCAAGCGCGGGCCTTCCAAGCGCAAGACAGCTGTCGCTGTGCGCTCCAGCGAAGACGATCGGCAGGGTCCCGAAGGCCTCGCGGAGCTCGTGGCCTTGGCTGAGCAACTGCTTCGGCAGCCCGAACCGCAGCAGGTGGCTCTCCTCGCGCAGCGGCTTCAGGCTTTTGCTGCTAACGAGCTCCGCCGAGGTGCTGTGCTCTCGGCCCCAGCTGTCCAGGCCTTCGTGAAGGTTGCAGATGCCGGCGAGTCGCTGCGGGGAGGCGCCGAGAAGCAGCTTCGCTGGGCGGCCGGCGCTGCCGCATCGCTTCTTCTGACTTACAGCGTCAGCCTGCAGCCGGCCGTGGCGGCGGATGCCGTCAACTATTCCGATTTCATGGAGTCCGTGAACCGCGGTGACGTTGAGATGGTGCGTGTCCAGGATGACCAGCTTTCCGCCCAGTACACCACCAAGGATGGCGCTCGTCACGAGGTGAACTTGATCCCCAATGGACAGATTCAGGACCAGTTGTTCAACAGTCTTGCGGAGAAGAAGGTGGATGTGGTCATGCAGACCCCTGGAGCCAACAGTGGTGGGCCCCTGGACTTCCTGGCACGCTTCGCCGGCCCCATCGCCTGGCTGATCGCAGGACTTCTTGTTCTCTTCGGAGGCGCTGGCATGGGAGGACCCGCAGGACCTGGCGGCCCGGGCGGAAACCCGTTCGAGCTCGGCAAGTCCAAGGCTCGGATCATCAAGGATGGGGACACCAAAGTGAAATTCGCAGACGTCGCGGGATGCGATGGGGCCAAGCAGGAGCTTGTGGAGGTCGTCGACTTCCTGAAGAACACCTCGCGCTACTCAGAGCTCGGCGCCAAGATCCCCAAGGGTGCCCTCTTGGTTGGGCCACCGGGTACCGGAAAAACGTTGCTTGCAAAGGCAGTGGCCGGTGAGGCGGGAGTTCCCTTCTTCAGCATCTCGGCATCGGAGTTCGTTGAGATCTTCGCTGGGATCGGCGCCTCGCGTGTGCGTGACCTCTTCGAGCAGGCGAAGAAGTCAGCCCCCTGCATCATCTTCATCGACGAGATTGATGCGGTGGGCCGCCAGCGCAGTGCCGGCTTCGGCCAGGGCAACGACGAGCGAGAGCAGACGGTGAACCAGCTGCTCACGGAGATGGACGGTTTCGAAGCGAACAAGGGCGTCGTGGTAATTGCTGCCACGAACCGAGCCGACATCCTGGACCAAGCCTTGGTGCGGCCAGGACGCTTCGATCGCCAAATTCAGGTGGATCCTCCCGACGTCCAGGGCCGCTCCGAGATCTTGAAGGTCCACGCCAAGGGCAAGAACCTGGCAGCTGGTGTTGACCTCGCAGCCATTGCCCGGCAGACCCCCGGCATGTCTGGCGCGGACCTCGCCAACCTCCTGAACGAGGGTGCCATCGTTGCGGCGCGCCAGAACAAGGCGGAGATCGATTCTGACGACATCTTCAATGCACTGGAGCGCATTGCTATTGGCTTGGAGAAGAAGGATGCCGTCATGTCCGAGCAGAAGAAGAGGCTGGTGGCATACCACGAGGCCGGTCACGCCATCCTAGGTGCATTGATGAACGACTATGATGTCGTGGCGAAGATCAGCATCGTTCCTCGTGGGCCTGCCGGCGGCGTCACGATCTTCATGCCCTCAGAGGAAAGGCTCAATTCCGGTCTCTACTCGAAGGAGTTCCTGGAGAATCGCATGTGCGTGGCGCTGGGCGGGCGCCTGGCCGAGGAGATCATCAACGGCAGGGACAACGTGACGACGGGGGCGTCGAACGACTTCCAGCAGTGTACGCAAGTAGCGAAGCAGATGGTCATGTCGCTGGGCATGTCCCCGGAGATTGGCCAGCGGCTCCTCGGAGGACAGCAGGGCGGTGGCCCTTTCATGGGCCGCGACTTCATGGGCCAGGGTGCTCCTCCCATGTCTCAAGCACTGAGGCAGAAGGTGGACGCCGAGGTCAAGCGTATCGTGGACGAGCAGTATCAGCGTGGCATGAAGCTCCTGCGCGACAATATGTATCTCCTGGATGAGCTTGCCAAGCAGCTCATGGCGGAGGAAAAGGTCTCCGGCGAGCAGCTGATGAAGCTGATCAACAAAGCAGCTGCCGAAGGAAAGCTCGTCATGGGCAACACGAAGATGGCAGTTGCCGCCTACACAGGTGAGGTGGTCGAGACAACCGCCGAGGTCTCCATGCCTCGTAAGACACAGTGCCTGCATCCGGACAAGCCGATGATGTTTGCTTGTGCCGACTGCCCTCGCCGCGGCTTCTGCGGCTCGACGGGTGCTTTGCCACAGGGTGGCAAGGCCGCTCGCAGCGCTGTTGCAAGGCTTGGGCTGGCAACGCCTGAGACTGAGAGCCGGGAGTCCACCAGCGAGGAGGTCCTGCGCCGAGTGAAGGACATGGCCGGCGAGGTCTCCACCGGGGCTGCGCTGCCCGACACCGTCGTGAAGCACGCTGCTGTGCAGGTCCTGGCGGCTCTCGCTGCCACCGCGGCACCGTTGGCAGCCAAGGCTGACGATGTGCCAGCACTGCAGTCCATGGGCACACCGCAGATGCAGATGCAGCAGCCGGGTGGAGGGGGCTTCGCCCGAGTCAGCGGGCGTGTGACCTACTCTCGTCTCCTCGAGTTCGTGGATGAGGGTTCTGTGAAGCGCGTGGACTTCTACGACCTTGGCCGCACAGCCGTCGCCACCGTATCTGTGGGTGGCCGCGAGCAGCAGCTTGTTTGCGATCTTCCCGGAGCCACCACAGGCCTTATCGAGAAGCTGACAGCCAAGGGTATCTCCATTGAGGTCCATCAGCCGGAGAAGCCAAATCCTTTGTTCAACGTCCTGGGTGATGTTGCCCTCCCCCTCCTGCTCATCGCAGGCCTGCTGTTCCTGCGCTCTCGTGCCCCCGGAGGTGGTGGCGGCATCCCAGGCTTCGGCAACCAAGGCCAGGCCAAGATCATGATCACGCCTGAAACGGGCGTGAAGTTCGAAGACGTGGCTGGCATCGACGAGGCAAAGGAAGAGCTTATGGAGATTGTGGACTTCTTGAAGGCACCCGAGAGGTTTGTGAAGGTCGGGGCAAAGATCCCTCGCGGGGTGCTGTTGACAGGACCCCCCGGCACCGGCAAGACGCTGATGGCCAAGGCATTGGCGGGTGAGTCCGGCGTGCCCTTCATTCAGTCGTCCGCCTCGGAGTTCATCGAGCTTTTCGTCGGTGTGGGCGCCTCCCGGGTGCGAGACATCTTCAAGCAGGCCAAGGAGAAGGCTCCATGCATCGTGTTCATCGATGAGATTGATGCAATCGGTCGCCAGCGCGGGGCCGGCATGGGTGGCGGCAACGACGAGCGTGAGCAGACACTGAATCAGATCCTCACGGAGATGGACGGCTTCGAGGGCAACAGCGGTGTGATCGTGGTCGCGGCCACGAACAGGTCCGACATCCTGGACAATGCCTTGTTGCGTCCTGGCCGTTTCGATCGCCGTGTGCAGGTCGGTCTCCCGGATGTCAAGGGCCGTGCCCAGATCCTCGAGGTCCATGTCAAGAACAAGAAGCTCGACGGAGAGATCACCCTCATGGACATCGCCAAGCGCACCGCCGGCTTCTCTGGTGCTGACCTGGAGAATCTGATGAACGAGTCGGCCATCCTTGCAGCCCGGCGCAACAAGACGGCCATCAGCATGGATGAGATCAACGATGCCACCGACCGGGTCATCGCCGGCCTCGAGGGACGTGCACTGCAGGACAACGCGGCCAAGAAGCTTATTGCCTACCACGAGGCAGGACATGCCATCGTCGGAACCCTGCTTCCGTACCATGATCCCGTCAACAAGGTGACCTTGATCCCACGTGGGCAGGCCAAGGGCCTCACATGGTTCACGCCCGGCGAGGACCAGAGCCTCATCTCTGCCGCCATGCTGAAGGCCCGTATTGCCGGCGCCCTGGGCGGACGGGCCGCCGAACAGCTGGTCTTCGGAAGCAGCCAGGTGACCACGGGTGCCGGCGGCGACCTCCAGCAGGTGGAGCGCATGGCCCGGGCAATGGTCACCCAGTTTGGCATGTCCGAGGTCGGTTCGCTGGCCATCGATGACGGCGGCTTCATGGGCCCCGACTACTCGGAGCAGCTCAGCGAGAAGATCGACCAGGCCATCAAGAACATCTCGGATGATTGCTACCTCAACGCGCTGAACATCCTGATGACCAACCGCGCGTGCCTGGATTTCGTTGCCGACGAGCTGACAGAGAAGGAGACCATGACTGGCGATCGCCTTCGGGAGATCATCGCCGAGTACACAGAGATCCCGGCCAAGCTCGCGGCTGTGTGAGGGCTCTGTGCTGGCCACGGTGGTTTACTGTGAGAATTCAGATTAGTGGGGGAGCTATTTAGAGTTGCCCCTCTGGACAGTGCCAGTCGCATTGAAAGCTGGCATTTCGGGATGTCCAGCTGACAATAGTCTGACGGTGTAATTCGTCTTTGAGCTGCAGGCTTGAATGTTCCGTCCCGTACAGAAGAAGATCCTGTGCAGTAGCTTCTGGATGGGGCCAACTTGCAACGCGGACCAAAAAGGTCGTAGCTGCAGGTGATCTTCCCCGACTCCGTCAATTTTCTGACCCATTGTACAGCCCAAGAGGTCTTAAAGGTTTTGAAGCCGTGTTTCAAAGATTTTCGGCAGAGGTTCCGCCGAACGCCGCTTCCAGCTTTTTTGAGAGAGTCGGCAAGGTGATCGAAGCTTGTCATAAGTAGGGTAACTGTACTTATAACTCATATTCGGGGACTTACAAGCCCATGTATAACTACCCGTTTGAGTGCCCCCACAATCGGTTGACCCTCGTTGCCAGCGCAGGATGCAACTGGCATTCTGCAAGACACTAGTCTTCCTCTCCTGCAGACCGCAGCCCGCGACAAAAGGCTGCGCCTTCTGTTGCCCGCAGTCGGTTCGCAGATCATCTCAATCTCTGTCTCTCTCTCTCTCTCTCTCTCGCTCTGTGGCTTTGACATGTTGCTGTAGCAGTTGCCTCCGTCCAAGGACGTGAACCCCTACCAGAAGGCAGACAGTGAGGAGAAATGCGTGAGCATATTCCAAGAGATGCTGGACGACTACAACAATCTCATGCCAACCAAGCTTCTCGGCATGGGCTTTGTCTTGACTGTACTTGGCTGGTGCGTCGACTCGGCCCCAGGATGAACATCGTCTTCTTCCGCGATGCATGTCGGGCATTTAGACCTCATGAGACAGGCCATCCATTCGATGCTGCTGCTCCTTTTTGCCCATTCTCAAGGCATGCATCTGGCGAGGGCAACAAGAACCATCCGACAGCCTCGTAGCGTGACTGCACTGAGTAGTTGCTGCGTGAGAAAGGGAGAGGAGAGAGCACTTCCTTTGACGATGTAACCGCTCACCACACTATGCCAACAGTCAATGCTACGGCAGGTGGAAACTTGCTGATGGCAGCATCCCCAGTCCTCGAAGACTAGTGTTGCACCGTTGGTGTTCCATCTATTTTTTGGACGTAAGCCCTCCTCTGAAGGTCGGAGTGAGCGGCGTTGGGCGGAAGTCCATAGCTCGCATTGCTGCTCACATGGCAGACTTCCAGTGTTTCTCCATTGAGATTACACGGACGTATGGCATGATGCTCAGTGCATGTATTGCTCGTATTCCTCTGTTGATGTGCGGTACCAAGCCTTACTGTTCCTTCAGGTGCCAACGATTTCAAGGAAGACTTGAAGAACATCATGAACGGCGTTGCGAAAGGAGGAGGCTGCTGTTGCGTTTTGCTCGAACAGGGTGCTAACACATCACCGAGCACAAGGGATGTCGGCCACTTTGTGCAAGCTTTGTTGCTGCTAGTCCACGATTTGGTTTTCTTGTCCTTGTCGGGTGGAGCAAGACCGCTGCAACTACCGTTACTTTTCTAACTCTTCATGCTATAGCTCTTGCACCGTGACCCCGACACGCAAGCCTAACCTTGTTGAAGCGGTGATTCTCCACACGACCGAGAGAAAGACCAAAGATGACTGCAGGCAAGGGTGTTGTCTTCCTCTTCTCGGACACACAGATTGTCAAGGAGCCGGTCCCTCGGAGTTCCGGTATTTCTGGCTTGCAGCTGGTGTTCTACTTCCCGGAGAACCTCTGCAACGCTAACAGGGTTGATCTTGACGTAGACAACTGTCTGAGCATTCCTATACTTGCGGAGGCGATCAGTGCATCAGGTTGTCGAAACCAGCGAAACCGCGGATGACATACTGGTACCCACGACCGCCAGGCATGCAGACAGAAACGCGACCAGAGTGTGCCGAGACATCCTACGAATCATACCTGCATGGTCACAGCTTGCATTGAAACTGCATTTTGTTGGTAGGAACCGCAGCCATCGGGCTCGGCTGCCGATCCAGACCGCCTGCCGTGAGCATCGTGTGAAGGCCTTTAGGGATGTCCGATGATGCTGTAGACATGTACGTGTGTACGTACGATACATTGACGAAGATGTTTCTATGGGTGCACATGTGCACACATCTACTGTAATGGTTCGTATGTATGCATGGTGTAGTGGGTACATGTATATGTATACACGCAGGAGTTAATCTGTGCGCGCCTTCATATCGCTTGATGCATACGCACGTGCATGCATAGATGCATACGTATATACATGCATACGTACTACATACGTGCACCCACCTGCATGTTTACCGACGAACATGCAGTTACATGCGTACATGCCTGCATGAGTGCAGACGTTCGCACACGTGACATGAATTTCTTCTTGTATGCATGCATGTCCATGAAATTTGTTAAGCATGTAGAGCTTGATCTGCAGGACCAGCAGAAAGCACATTATGCATCCCTGTATGCTTGAACATGTTAGTCCTTACGAAATGACCTGTGCATGTGTACATACTAGGAGACGGAGAGGGAGCGGGTGGGCGAGGAAGAGCGATGGAGGGAGGGAGAGAGTGAGAGGAACGACGGAGAGGGATGGAGGGACAGGGAGAGGGCTAGGGAGAGGGAGTATTTTCGCACATGTTGTTACCGGCTTGTTTTTGTTTTGTCTTTTTCTGGAAGTGTGTACATATGCATGTAGATATGAATTCACAAATACCATATATATATATGTATATATATATATATATATATATATATATATATATAAATCTATCTATTTATATATGCATGTGCATAAACATACACACAGTTATTTACGCATATGCGCAGATATTCGCACACACACACATATATATATATATATATGTATATATATATATATATATACACATGCAAATGCAAAAAGCTGTACCCCGCACACACACGCATACACACACACACACACACACAAATGGCTTTATGAAAGGTGTACATGCAAACGGTTGTTTCTGGAGGTAGCTTTGTGGTTGTGTTTAGAAGCTGTATCTGCGGACCGCGCCGGCTTGACTGTTTCTACATTCGCCGGCATGTGCATATGTGTATATCCATCTCTATATTTGTCCCTGCGGGCTTCGTGCGTTGCACACTTAAGTGTATTTGTACGTACGAGAAGACGTGTTCCCACGAATTGTCAATGCAATGCCTGTCTGTGTGTGCATTAGAGATCTACTGGTAACTACTGGTACACACAAACATGCACAAACATGTGCAAATGCGCGCAAACAGGCACAAGCATACACATGCATGCACATGCACACACACACACACACACGCATAGGCATACATGCACAGGCACGCACACAGAAATGTACACATATGTGTACGTATATATCTATATATATATATATACATACACACATACATACATATATACACATATGCACGATGTGTACAGCGGATGAGCGCTCGGACAGAGCCCGGTGAAGAGCCACACCCACCAGAGAATGCTTCCATGGGTCTGGTGGCAGAAAGAGTCGACATTGGACATACTCTCTGAAGCAGAGCGTTCTTCAACGGCAACAAGCGACAAAGTATGCCTTGTGGTTTTTGCTCTGTTTCCGCAGATTCCGTTGCTTCCGAGTCTCAGGTCCTTCTTGGAAGACATCAACAACATCTTGAACACTGGTGAGGTGCGGAGGTTTCTCCGACGGTGCAATTTTCTGCATTGCGGGTGCAACTGAGGTGCCGAACCTCTTTGCACCCGATGAGCTGGAGGGTGTGATTGGTCTGATGCAGCTTGCCGGAAGGGCACCAGAGAGCCGGCTTGCCTAGACCCAGCTGTTGCGATGATTTGAGCAGCCAAGGCGGCCTTTGGCCAAGGCCAGCTTGAATCGGAAGTGCTCGCTACATGTTGTCCATTGCTGTCTCTTTGCCGAAGGCCGCAGGGAAGCCAGAGACTCGAGATGCAATTTGGCAGTATTTTGTGCAGGCACGAGTCCTGCACATGTGCACGAGTAGCAGAGTTGTGTGTGATGTTTCAACATGTTTCTCGCGCGGGACCATGCCTGTCAAGCCGCCATTCTGCTTCACAGGTTATTCGGGAGAACATGCACATCGCACGAGCCTCATGGGCAGCGATGCACGCATCCGGGCACATGCAAGTTCTGAGAGTGCAGACGTGAGAGACTGAGGTCTTGGCTTTCTCTCCGATTGGTGAAGGCTTCCGAGCCCGATGCGGGCGACTCAGATTGGTATCGAAACTAGCACAGGTATCGAACAAACAGGAGCTCAAGGCATTTACAAGAACGCAGCACGGATTCAGGATGCCTGACACAAACGGAAACCACGAGAACATGCAACAAGGTTACGGCCTGTGTATCTAGGCGGACGGAACGAAACGCATGCACGTGTCGTCCGCTGAGGCTTCATTAAATCGCGGTGAAGCTTCGGTTGTTTGCCGGCGGGACACCGATGCGTAAGCGGTGCAGGAACCCAGGATATTCGAAGCAGAAGTTCACGGCCATTCAATCATTGACGACATCGCTTGCTGCATCCTCCGGCCGTCACCGGAGGATGGTGACCTGTGCAATAAGAAGATGACGAAGCACTCATCAGCATTGCCGACAAACTCAAGAAGACTCTGTTCAGTCCTTCAGGATTCTCCGAAGTGTTTAAAGCGAGAAGATCCGCAAGACAAGTGCGAACATGCAATCCGAAAGAAATACGCTGTAGGCTCGGGAAAAGGCGCGCTTGCGGTTCAGAATGCTCTTGGTGAGATCCAACATCGAATTCGCAGGGATTGAAACATCCGGGATGTGTGTGCCTGCACACGCAAAGCAAAATGAATGTTCGTGAGCGAGACGTTGTCGCTAACTCAACGACACCGAGCCGTGTGACTTTCGGACAGAATCCCCTCAAAGCAATGGGTCATCGATCCCGGTTGTTTCTGGACCCGCTCACTTCAGGAATTCGTAAGGTCCTTACCCTGCAAGCGTCATGTGAGTCGTCGGCATCTTTTCAAGAAGTTTCCAGCAAGGTTGTTTGTGCTTACAGCTATAGTGAAATCGTGGTCTATCAGTTAGCCGGTTTCGGGCCACTGACTGCCGACTGCAGGCCGACAATTTCCATCCATCATCAACTGTGCAACGATCGACTGGTTCAGCAGTGGGCCTCAGACTCCTGGCGTCTTGCATCAAGCGAACAGTCGGGTGGTGCCATGGCACGGTTTAGGGTTTGTGGTTTCGGGTTTAGGGTTCAGACTTATCCAGACTTCAGCTGACTGACCTGTCAGCTTCGCAGAGCTGAAGGTCCATGGCCTGCTGATGCATTGTATTCCGCACACGGCTCAGTTGGACGAGCGCCTCGAAATCTGCAATCGGTTGAAGATGGCAGATGTTGACAACGCTGGCCGGAAACAAGCAAAAGTTTTCTGCTGCTACACACGACATGTCAGTTGACATCGTTTACCTGTCACAGTTCCCCGACTCTTGCTAGACAGCCCGAGGGTCTTGTATTAACTTCAGTGCCATGCAGAGCTACGGTTACAGGAAAGCCGCACAGTATCCAATGCACCATGACACGTTGCCTGGGAGATGAGGTGGCCGTTCGCTACTATTCGCAAGCTCCGAAAGAGCTGGGTCCATGCACCCAGTCCGTTTTCAAGATCTCTGAGCTCTACTGGACTCTACTGCTTGATCCACTTCTCCTTGGCTCCAGGCCTGGAGTCCCTGGTGGACCAGCTCTCGAAAGTCTCGCAGTGCCCTACCGCGCCCCTGGCAAGCGCAGCATTTCTCCTTCGCTTATGCTCAACCAGGTACATGCACAGCACTTCGAAAGATGCCGCGGAGGACTTCTTCGACAGCGCGAGCCTGTGCCAGGGTCAGGCAGTGTTGATCGAAGAGCTTCGGCAAGATTCCACAGAGTATTCCCGGTAGTGAGGCCTGCGAAGAAGAACATACATGACTCCGACTTCCTACTTGGAGCTCATTGGCCTCTTCACAGACCTGGTGGGCAAGAAGCCTGGGCCCTGTGCTGCTGCAGTCCCTCTAGGGTGCCGATGCACGAACTCTAAACCTTCAGGAGGCTTGACCCTTCAAAAAAGGCCCACAGATGTCTCCAGTGAAATCGCTCCGACTGGTGCAGGCGTGGGGAGCTGACCACGAAGCTGGAGCGCTACACCATTGGTTCCAAGACGCTGAACGAGACCAAGTCTGTCGTCGACGATCTGAAGGCCCAGTCTAGGTGTCACAAGCAGCACATGAACTATCTTGACATAGAACATACAAATATATACATATCTTTCCGGAAAGTTGTGCCACCCATTATATACTAGTATACATAAAATCTAGTGTGTGTATGTACAATATACCTGTACATAAATATGTGTATATATATATGTATATATTTATATATGTATTTTCTCTCTCTCTCTCTATATATATATATATATACACACATGTACAACATTCCAACATACGACTGTATCCCTACTGTTTGCTTGCGAGCTGACGAGTCAGGCATCCTTGGCCAAGATGCAGCCCACGCGACTTAGCTGAAGCTGTCGAGAGAGCAGCGCACACACACGCACCGCTGGCACGCGCCTCCCCAGCCTAATCCTTTTGCTTGTTGTGAACTGAAAGCTGAGCTCTGGAACCATCCGAGGATCGAGCAGGCGAAGAAAGATACCGCAGAGCTCATGGTGAAGGCAAAAGCTTTAGCATCACCCCCTACATAGCTCGCGTCGTAGGCCTTTCTGCACGTCAGGCATGTTCTTGGCACACCGGTCCTCCTGACTCGCAGGTTCAAGCAGATCAGGCAATTGCAAAAGAGAAGAGCGAGGCTGGAAACTGCTGACATTGCTGCAAGCATGTACCGCCATGCACAGTCACGGCTCTGGACCCAACTAAGCAAGTGAAAGAGCATGGTGACGATCACGGCATATCGAGACACCTCCCTTGCAATGCCTACAAGCCAGCGACGTGCTGGAAACTTGCGTCGTACCATTGGCCTGTCCTCGAAGCTCGCCCCCCTCTCCAGTCGCGAGATTTTACTTTTGTTTTTTGTTCTCGTTAAGTTCCGCAGCGCCGTCTATTCAACTCCCGTCGCCAGTCGGCACTTCTTCCCTGCCTGCATAACCTGCAACATGTGTTGGGGTCGGCAATGCGGACTCGTTCCGTCTGACTGGCTACGGACGGTGAAGACCGTGAAAGGTTGGGCTTATGGGCCAGCACGTGATTGGGGCTGGCGGCGATGGTGGATAAAGCGTCACCTGTGTTGCGAACTTCGTTGTGGGGGAGTGCCACAGAGTCTCCACAACTGCCGTCCGGTGCTCGGCTGTTAAAAAAATCACCCACCTGCTACAGGCATGTGCCGTTGACGAGAAAGCCGCCTCGGAAGCTGCAGCAGAGGCAAGGGGCGAAAGTCAACAGACGACTCGTCCAAACGCTTGGCGGTTCTGACAGGCCAATGGCATAAAGGCAGACTGCCAGAAAGACCTCGACGAGGTGCACACCCAATGTCAACACTCATCGGCGGGTTTCTCGTGTTTGCGAGCACCTTGATGCAGGCATTGCCCGAGTATTATGCGGCAATCAAATCGCTCGATTCCCTCGACAAAAAGGACCGTGAATTTGCTTGTTTGGGTAAAGATGCAGGGCGGTGAGAGCTGCTCCGTTTCAGGACATTCAAGAGGTCAAGTCGTTTGCCAAGCCTCCGCCTCTAGTAGAGGCACCCGTATTGATGCAGATACTGACTGTGTGTCTCCTTGCCTTTGTGCGTGATGCCCGAAGTGCTGTCAACCTTTGGAGGTCGTTTTGAGCGCGGTGTGTCTGTTGTTTGGCCTGGATCTTGGAGCTGCATGTTTCTACCAGTGCTGCTCTCGCAAGAGATGAAAGAGCCAATTGCAGAATTACACTGCGCACTGAAAGTCGGCATGAAAGTGCAGCCCATGACTCCGCGTGATAATCGGCTTTAGGCACACAGGTTCGAAGCGACCATTCAGTCCCGGTAAGGCCAGAAAGAAAGCTGGGACGAAGCCAAGAAGCCACTTGGCATGTACACGTCAGATTAATGCAGATGCATCAATCCCGCTGCAGAGCTTGGAGCCGGTAAGACCACCACAACGAGCAGGCTCATGAACGACACGAAGTTCCTGGACAATCTTAAGACCTACGACAAGGATGAGAGAGAGAGAGAGAGAGAGAGAGGGAGCACTTGTTGAGCTTGGGCTTCTGCAAAGTCCAGTGAAAATTAGTTACCCTCTGGTTGGTCCCATCGTTGTGAGCTTCGGAGTCTTGCTGCCATAGCGTTTCCAACGTCGGGGTCGCTCGTTGAGCTTGTTGCATGGGAACGACAGGAAGGGTAACGCAGTTGGAGTTTGATGGCGCGCCTGTCAGCCGGAGGATGCATTGGCCAACAACGCCAAGTTGACCCAAAAGTTGCAGAAGTACATCAAGAGGTGGCTTTGACTGCAGGAAGTTGAGACGCGAAGATGCGCATGTGTGTCAGGGAAGACTTCGTGGCCGAAAAGGCTTGGACGGGTCTTGTTGAACCTTGTCTCATGAACCTCCACTGTTGCATGCTTTAAGCAGGTCGGGTTTCCGGTGCCTAGTCAGGCAAATGCCAAGCCGTGACCGGTGAGCACTACTTACTACCCTTTGGAACTGGCTTACCACTGGGCTTGTGGTAAGGGCTGCAGACACTTCGCATTCATAACCCGTGACCCATCTGGCTGCGACACCATGTATGTAATCCTGGCCAGGTGAAAAGTGTGTCTTCTGCCGCCATGTCGCTCTGTGTCTCGGCTGAAAAGGTTAGCTGCTGCTTTCAACTTCCCAGTGCTTGGCTATGAGTGAAATCCTTCCCACACTTTACGGGGTAGACGCCAAGACTGCTGCCGCTGCCGCAAAACTCCTTGCGACAGCTATAGCAGGTTTTCGAGGCGTTAGGCTGGACGACAGAATTACGACAGAATTTGTTGGAAGGATCCTGGGGCTGCTTGGGGAGAGAGGAACGGAATGGCCAACGTCATCCCCGAACTCTGTCGGATGGAGATTGGTGGAGATTTCTCGACAACTTGGGCTGGCTTCGTGGAGGGTTGATCAAGTGCTGGGCTTGAAGGGTGAAGGTGGGATATGGGAGCCAAAGCTGCTTTGGCTGGGACGTCCTGCATGTCAATCGCAGGCGGCCTGATTGGTTGTTTCGGAATGCATACAGCAATCAGGACAAACCAGGGCAGAAAGTGGTGTGGGGCGGTGAGGTCAGGCATTCCCCATGTCTGGGCCAATTTCGGGTGCTGCCCGGCCAGTAAGAATCTGCGAAAGGCATGGTATCATGGTATGACCGTGTCTTGGGACGTTTCTATGAGGAGTACGGCCTTCTCATTCTCATCCCTGAAGTGAGCTGTCGTGGAAAGCCTGTTCCTTGTTCGCTGCCGTGTATGAAGAGTGAATGTTGGCTTTCCCACACTTTCGACTTCTTGCGCCAAAAAAGCCTGAGTACGTTTTGGACCCTCTGCTTGTCAGTTGCCTTTGCAAGAAGAGATGATGTGAGACCAAAGCAACCAGAATTTATCAGACGTCTCAACTGAGACGACATGAGCCATGGGAGGCATGTGGGTGCGGGCTATGGACGTCTATGGGCGCGTCTCTCGGGAAATCGAGCCGAAGAAGGCCGGGCGAGTTTCGGGACATGCAGTGATAGGTTGTGCTGTGCTGAAGAAGACATGCTGGCCATTATTGCTATCTGACTTTGGGTTTACATCATCGCTAATGCGTAACACGCGAAGCTGTTCCCTGTGAGGATGTGTCCGGTTTGTTCCACATCTGTACCATGAGCAGGCGAAGCTAAAGGTCGCAGAAGACTCACTGGCAGCTGCTGAAGAGAAGCTGGCCATCAAGAAGGCGATTTGCATGTCGATGTTCGGTTGGTGTCAGATAGGCTTAACCAGCATCAATGCTTGCCCAGATGAGGGTGCCGGAGAACCCGTTGGCCCATGCTCCTGCAGCGTGCAATGCGGCTCAAGAGCAGATGCCTATCCCTCCGTTGATCCGTGCGACTTGGAAGTCCTTGGCTGTGGTTCTCGTGACTCAATGCCAGTTATCTCTGGCCTTAGCAGATCAAAAGGAGATCTTTGATGTCATAGTGGTTGGGGCCGGCCCAGCAGGCCTTTCGACGGTGAGGCATCTGCTGCAAGCGAATGTTTCGTCGGTTCTGTTGCTCGACAAGTCAGAAAGAATTGGCGGGCGCAGCCGAACGCTGAAATACGGTCGATACGGGGTGGATCTAGGTCCAGCATGGATCCATTACGGCACAGCAAACCCGCTTACGCACTTAGCCACGCAAGGCAACTGCAGCATGGTGCGGACGCGAAACCTGAACATGAACGTTTACCACGCTGGGAAAGAAGTACCTCAAACCGTCGTAGCAGAGATGTTTGGCCTGCTGGACGACATCGAAGCTGGGTACAATCAGTGGAAGAGTGTTGGGAGAAAGGATGAGAGTCTCCTGCATGTCTTTGAACGCATCTTCGAGCAGAAATCACTTGAGCTTTCACCTGAGCAAGAAGCTGCGTTTGCGGCCATCCTTTTCGGAGAGATCGTTGAAGACTGGACTGCTCCTCTGCACGAGCTTTCAGCTGGGAGGCACTGCGAGTATGACAGCGTTGATGGAGTTGGGAGCGACTGGCGAGTTGTGGAGGGGATGGAGTGCATCGTTCAGCAGATCCTAGATCCAAACTTCCAGAACATGAGAATGAATCATCATGTGAAGTCAGTGCGGTTCGACTCAGACTCGGAGCTGGTCCATGTTCAAGGTGACGGCTTCAAGGACTTCTTGGGGCGGGTTGCGGTCTTCGGGGTGCCTTTAGGAGATTTGCGGGAGGGTCTAGTCGAAGTCGAGCCGCTGCCTGACTGGAAGAGGAAGGCTTGGAGAGAGCTGGGTTTGGGTCGTGCTATCCGAGTGGCATTGGAGTTCGAGAGGCACTTTTGGCCTTCTGATGTGGAGTTCTTCATGGACTTCGTTACAAATTGCACCAGCAACTTTCTCCAAGACGTGGACTTGTGTTCAATTGAGTTCACTGCGCCCGTCTCCGGCACGTATCCACCTGCCCTCGTTGCCGAAGCAGATGGGCGCTTGGCCGAATGGCTTAGCAGTCAATCCAACGATGCCGTGGTGCAATTCCTGCTGGGCCGCTTGCAGGAGATGTTTGGGAACTTGCCAGAGCTGAAGGGCTCCCATGTCCTGCGGCCTTGGGGCCTTCCATTCTGGCAGAAGGGCTCAAGTGGCAGGCCAGCTGCTCGCCGGGCAGGGGAGCCCATCATGAAAAGGCTCTTCTTTGCAGGCGACTACGTGTCTCACAACGTCGGAACCGTTACCGGGGCGTTCCTATCTGGAATCGCAGCCGCTCACAGAGTTTCCTGTGAGCTGGGAGCTGGAGGAGTGAGATTTGAAGAGCTTCCCACAATTACTCCCATGATCCAGAAGGCGTGTGCGGAGAAGACGCTCCTCCGTGGACGCTGCAACGTAAGCCTCTGGGACATCCTGTATTCTTGCTCGGCTTTGCGCAGCTTGGATGACGAGTCTGGAAGGACCTGCTTCGTTCAGGGCCATGATCGGTGGCGGGAGGAGTCTGTGTTAAAGGACTGGTACAGCAGTGCATGGAAATCTGCTCAAAGACTCTTCGAGCATGTGCGAACTATGTTCAAACTGGTTCGCGGCGATCGGCTCGCTAAGATCCGGACAGAAGTCTGAGAACACCAGGCTCACATCGAGGCCCCGGCAGACCAGCTTCGGTGGACCTGTGGGAGACGACGGTCTGTCTGAGGATCTTCACTGCTCTTCACTCGTTCTGGTAGCCACTCGAGGCGCGACTCTGCGGCCGCCTGTTTGGCTGGTTCGTCGCAGCGCGAGAGCTTCACTCGACCGAGACTGCCTGCAAGGGAAGGCCTACTGTTGCATTTCTGCCCGCTTGATCCTGATGTCAGCGCAGTCACCACAGCGTGCCTCCTGCGCCGGATGCATGCCGAACTCCTCGTCCATGAAAGCTTCATGTAATCTTGCATGCTCAACTTGCCCAGCATGGGCTCTGTCGATTTGAGAAGCGTGCGTGAGTCGATGAGAGACGAACGGAGCAGGCTGAGTTGAAGCTGGTGATGGACAACGTAGCCTCCCTGGAGGCCGGGGCTGCGTCTGGGTTCGGAATTCGGGAGCGCAGTGAACACCTGGCAGCTGCCCGGAGTCAGGCCCAGCTTGCTGCTGCCCAGCGCAAGGCCAGACGCTCGTTTCGAAGATCAGGCAGTAGAATCGAAGATGTACAGAAACATAAGCGGAAGTTAATGTGCAGGCGAAGCCAGTCTGTCAAGGTGTTTCTGTACGCTGCACAAAAATGTTCAAACGAATAAACATGTGTATATATATATAATATATATATATATATATATATATATATAAAATATATATATATATATATATATATATATATATATATATATATATGTGGCATGGACCTTTAGGGTCTATTTGGCAATCCTGCTGGGCTTTGTACTTAAACTGCAACAACACCACGGCGACAAGGACGACGACGACTCGGTTTAGCACGACGACGACTGGGTTCAGCACGGCGACGACAAGGTCTGGCACGACGGTTACATCGGGAGGCCGAAGCGTGTACAGTGTAAAGGTCTCGACAGGAGTTTACGGGTCTAGGGTCTTAGCTCCTAACTATGGTTTACCGGGGTCAGTATACTATGGAAGATCTAAGGTTTGGAGTTTATGAGGATTTAGATGGTTTTACGCTCTCACAACTCGGGCATGCCAGGCGACGTTCTCCGTGCTGGTTTTAGGGTCTATCACAATGTCCTCCCGTCCCTCTCGCGCCGGGAACCATCAAGAATCTGTCTTGTGTATCACTCGTCCTGTTTCTTTCTCTCACCGTTCCTCTTCCTGCCTATCCACTCTGCCGTTTGTCAAGAAGACACAGAAGTTGAAGTCATGACAGAGGAATAGGCATGAAGATGGACGAAGTGAACTCTTCATTCTCTCGTCTCTCCCTTCTCTCCTTCCTTTGATTGATCCTTTTTCTGTTTCTTTTCTTGTCGCCTTCTGCTTTCAATGACAGGGGTAACACGAGGGAGGTCTCGCTTCCGCCTCTCTCTCTCTCTCTCTCTCTCTCTTTTTCTCGCTCTGTCTTCCTCTCTGCCGTGTCTCGCTCTCTCATCTCTTCTGTCCCCTCTTTCCTTGCTCCGTTGCTGGAAGGAATCGAAAACAGAAGCGAAGACATAAGATGGAGGAAGATGGTTGGGAGAAGGAAGGTGGATTCCTCCCTCACTCGGCTCTTTGATTTTTTGGCCCTTGCCTTCTTTTCTCTGCTCCTATCCTTCTTCACAATTAGAAGGAGAAGCGACAAGAACGGAGAGCTCAGGGAGAGCAAGTGATACTGTTCCTCATACTCTCCTCCTTCCTCGTGTTCATTGCGTTGTCCATCTCCCCCTCGCTCTCTCTCTCTCTCTCTCTCTCTCTCTCTCTTTCTCTCTCTTTCTCTCTCTCTCTCTCTCTCTCTCTCTCTCTCTCTCGCTCTCTCTCTCTCTCTCTCTCCCTCCATCCTTTCCTCTCTACTTCTGCACATTTACTTTTCCACTTCTCTCGCCTGCTACATTATGCTTGCTTTGATACTTATCTTTAACTTTCTCTCACTCTCTTTGTCCCATCGCTTGCCCTGTTCCTTCTCCTCCTCCCTTCCCTGCCTCCCGTCCTTCTCCCCTTATCACTCAGAAGGAAGAAGGAAGACTCACAAGGAGAAAGACAAGGGAGTAAGAAAACAGACAAAACAAACGGAGAGAGAATCCGAGAAAGGAGCCATAAGGGACGAAATACAGAAACAAAGAGAGAAACTAAGCGGGAAAGATAATCAAAAAGAGAGACAGAAAGAGGAGGCGATGCATAAAGCAGCCGCCAGTGCCTTGACCTCCACGTCTATTCATTCTTTGTTCTTGTCCTATCACACTGTCTCATTGGTGATAAACCAGGAAGAGCTTGTGGAGGGAGACGAGGAAGAAGTGTTCTCCTCTTCACTCACCTTGTGCCCTTCCTCTCCCACCGCTCGCCCGCTCTCCTTTCTTTGATTTTCTTGTCTGGCGGAAAGGTGGTAACCAGGAATGAAATTGGAGAAGGGAAAGGACGAGATTGAGAAATGACAGAAAGAAGAGAGATACAGAGAGAGCGAGGGAGACTTTCAAGCCCAGCAGAGGAAGAAGAGAGAGGAAGATAAGAGAAGGGGGCAAGGGGTGGCCAGAAGAAGCGTAAGCCAAAGCTACGTATTGAAAGGGCGGAAGCCCCTTTCTCCTCTTCTTCCTCTTTGCTCTCTTCTTTTTCTCTTAGCGCAGGGCATGCATGGAGCTAGGAAAGGGAAGGGGTCAAAGCGGATGAGAGAAAGTAACGGAGAGAGCTGTTCTTCGTCCCTTTCACCTCCTCCTCTCATTCTTCTGATGCTTACTCATGTCAGAAGGGTTTGGAAAGGAGTGAAGGCTAGGGCATGGACTGAAGCGAGGCAATAGGTGAAAGTGGATAAGAGAAAGTCATAGACAAAGAGTGCGGGAAGTCGAGTGCGAAAGAAAGAGAAACGAGGAAGACTAGGAAGAAGGACACAGAAGAGGAAGCCAGAGAGTACCAGGGTTGCCGTATCTCAAAGGATTCCGGGCCTCGCGAGGGCTTTGAGGAGGCTTGTAGGCGCCTTCAGACACTTCCACAACTTTCTGGAAGCCACCAACTTCCTCCCTAAGGGGGCCTCCCGAGGACATGAACACCAAAACCGAGTATAAAGAAAGCAGGGGGATGTAGAGAAGCAGAGTGTGGTAAGAAGGAGCAAGGAGAATCAGTTCGCGTCTCCTCCTCTTTTCCTTTTTGAATGACCAGAGGAAAGAAAAGGATAAGGAGGAAAGGCTCTGCGAAGACATATGGAAAGAAGAGCAGACAACAGAAAGGAAGCGGTAAGATGCGGGAAGACGGTTCGGAGAAGAAAGGAGAATTCCTCCTTCGCTCGCCTCTCTTACTTCCTTGCCCTTTGCCTTCTTCCTCTTCTCTTACCCTACTCATCTTCATAAGGAAGGAGAAATGAAAGAAACGGAGAGTTCAGGGCATGCAAAGGGCACTCTTCTCATCACCTCATCCATCCTCCTTTTCATTGTTCTCTCCAGTTCCCTCTTTCTCCCTCCCTCCCTTCCCGTCTACTTCTGCACATTCCCTTTTCCGCTTCTCTCCGCCTATTAGTTCGCTTGGAAAGAATCGCTTGCCCCCTATTCCTTCTCCTCCTGCCTTTCCTGCCTCTCGTCGAAGAAGGACAATTCACAAGGAAGAAGACAAGGGAGTAAGAGAAAGACAACAGAAGCTGAGAGACAATCCGAGAAGGGCAGAAGAAGAACGAGAGCCATAAGGAAACAAACACAGAAACAAAGAGAGAAAGTAAGAGAGAAAGAACAGCAAAAACAGAGGCAGAGAGTGAGAGAGAGGAGGGGAGGGGAAGCGATGCAGAAAGCAGTCGAAAGTGCCTTGCTTGTCCTATCTCACCGTCCCATTGGTAAAAAACCAGGAAGAGGTTGTGGAGGAAGACAAGGAAGAAGTGTTCTCGTCTTCACTCACGTTGTGCCCTTCTTCTCCCACCGCTCGGCCGCTCGACAGAAAGAAGAGAGTTGCGGAGAGGGCGAGAGAGAGCTTCAAGCCCAGCAGAGGAAGAAGAGAGAGGAAGATACGAGAAGTGTAGAGGAAGTGGCCAAAAGAAATGCTACGTAATGAAAGAGGGGAAACCAGTTTCTCCTCTGCTCTTCCTCTTTTCTCTCTTATTCTTCTCTTCGCGCAGGGCATGCATGGAGCCAGGAAAGGGAAGGGGTCAAAGCAGATGAGAGAAAGTAATGGAGAGAGCTGTTCTTCGTCCGTCTGACCTCCTCCTCTCATTTTACTCATATCAGAAGGGTCTGGAAAGGAGTGAAAGGTAGGGCATGGACTGAAGCGAGGGAATAGGTGAAAGCGGATAAGAAACAATGTTAGACAGCTTGCCGAAGGCGGCCAGCTCGCAGCTTGCCTGCGGCCTGGCCTGCTGAGCCTGGTGGGCTTTTGAAGGTGGGCAGGGGCCTGCTGAGATCCGCGGCCAGCACGCCAGGCTTGCTTTGAGGCAGGGCCAGCTGGGGAGCCTGGCCGGGCTGAGTGGGTTGGGTGAGTGACTGGGGAGAGGGTGGAGAGGAACAGGGAGAAGAGGGTGGGTGGAGAGAGGAGGTAGAGGGAGCGAGGGGTGGGAAGAGGGAGGTAAAGGCAGGTAGAAAGGGGAGCAGAGTGAGATGGCAATCAAGAAGGGTTACGGGTGAATGAAGAAGCGCGGATGAGGGGAGGGCGGGTGGACAAAGGGAGGGGAAGAGGAGGGAGTGGGGAGATGGGTGGAGAGGTAGAGGGAGTGGAGGGTGGGTGCGTTCTTTGGATTGTATAGTCTAAGGGTTTTCTACAACGGGTTCCATATCAGGGATCTGTACAAAGGATCTATAGATTTCTATAAGGAGTATATAAAGACTGTGTATGAGGGCTCCATATAATCGATCTTTCAAAGATTTTTTATAAAGGACTCCATTTGTGGGAAACATAAGCGGTTCCTACAAATTCTTTATCTCGAGGATCTGTAAGGTTTACATATCTATGAAGCTTTTCTATATGGGCTCTATAGACCCCATAAGACAAATTAAAAAGTGATGAATGTGATAAGAAGATGATAAGAAGATGAGTGGATGGGAGAAAAAGTGATGGGAGGTGAGGAGACATGAGATGGGAAGGGAAGGAATGAGTTAGGAGTTGGGGAGGTAGGAGGCAAGTGAGAGGGACAGGGTGGATCATTTACAAACGCGTTTAGAGGGACGCTCCTTGCGATGTGTGATTTTTGGCTCTGAGTTCTTACAAAGCCTGAGAGGGGCACACCCCTTGCGATTTGTGATTTTTGAACTTACTTGTCATGAAAACCTTTTGGGGACACCCCTTAAGATCTGTGGTTTTGGGATCTGAGTCTTCACAAAACCTTAGGGGGATATTTAAGAAGGAGAGAAGGGAGGGTGGGGGAGGGTGGAGATTCCAGGAGAGAGAAAGGGGAAGAGGAGAGGTAGAGGGAGTGGAGGTGCGGGAGAGTGAGGAAGGTGAGGGGAGGGGGTAGTGGGAGGGATAGGGAGAGGGAGGGAGGGGTATGAAGATGATGAGGTGGATGATAAAGAGAGAGGTGGGGTGGAGTGAGGTGTGTGGTGGGATGGGACGGGGTGGGTGGGCACGGCTGCCTGCTTCCGCACGCCCAGCCTTCTCTGCCCGAGCCGCGACCGAGCAGAAAGCATGTAAATATCGCGCTATAACAAGGGCTAGGGATTTCACACATCTGCTGGCAAAATCTGGCGGAAGTGACCTGTGGTCCAGCAAAACGCCTGTAAATACCGCATGAAAACAAGGGCTAGGGATTTCACACATCTGCTGGCAAAATCTGGCGGAAGTGACCTGTGCTCGAACAAAACACATGTAAATACCGCGTGAAGACAAGGACTAATATTTCACACATCTGCTGGCAAAATCTGGCGGAAGTGACCTGTGGTCCAGCAAAACACCTGTAAGTACCACTTGAAAACAAGGGCTAGGGATTTCACACATCTGCTGGCAAAATCTGGCGGAAATGACCTGTGCTCGAACAAAACACATGTAAATACCGCGTGAAGACAAGGACTAGGGATTTCCCACATCTGCTGGCAAAATCTGGCGGAAGTGACCTGTGGTCCAGCAAAACACCTGTAAATACCGCGCTAAAACAGGGGCTACGGATTTCACACATCTGCTGGCAAAATCTGGCGGAAGTGACCTGTGCCCGAACAAAACACATGTAAATACCGCGTGAAAACAAGGACTAGGGATTTCACACATCTGCTGGCAAAATCTGGCGGAAGTGACCTGTGATCCAGCAAAAAACCTGTAAATACCGCGCTAAAACAGGGGCCAGGGATTTCACACATCTGCTGGCAAAATCTGGCGGAAGTGACCTGTGGTCCACCAAAACACCTGTAACCCAGATCCGAAAACCATAGATCGCAAGGGGTGTCACCCTAAGGGTTTTTGTAATAAATATGTTTCAAAAACACAAATCGCAAGGGGTGTCCCCCTAATTAATTAAGGTTTTGTAAGAACTCCATTACTAGAATCACAGATCGCAATGAGTGTCCCCCCTAAAGGCTTTTTCAATAAATAGGTTCCAAAATCACAAATCGCAAGGGGTGTCACCGCAAGGCAGGGTGGGAGAAGCGGGGGAGAGGCATGGGGTTAAGGGCAGGGGGCTGGGCTGGGGTTGGGCAGGGCTGGTAAGCTTGGAATTCGTGGCTGCGGCTGGGCCACTGGGGCTGGGGTTGGGCAGGGCTGTTGGCTGAAATTTTGGGGGCGGCTGGAGCTGGGTGGGCCGGGCCATGGGGCAGGGGGGGTGGAGGCGGGCTGGGGGGGGATTGTGGGGGCTCGGGTTGGGGCTGGGGCTGAGGGGTGGGGGTGGGGGCTGGAACTGGGGGCTCGCGGATTATACAGGCTTTCTGCTCGATCAGAGATCACTTCCGCCAGATTTTGCCAGCAGATGTGTGAAATCCTTAGCCTTGGTTTTGACGCGGTATTTCAAGCTTTCTGCGTGATCACCGATCACTTCCGTCAGATTTTGCCAGCGGATGTGTGAAATCCCGAGCCCTTGTTTTAACGTTTCTGCGCGATCACCGATCACTTCCGCCAGATTTTACCAGCGGATGTGTGAAATCCCTAGCCCTTGTTTTAACGCGGTATTTACATGCTTTCTGCTCGATCACGGATCACTTCCGCCAGATTTTACCAGCGCATGTGTGAAATCCCTAGCCCTTGTTTTGCCACGGAAAGCTGCTAAACCCGTGCTCGGTTTTAGTGTGGTATTTACAGCACTTTGACAAGGTCGCAGCCCGATCGCACCAAATTTTGTCACACAAAGTTGCTAAACCCCTGCTCGGTTTTAGTGTGGTATTTACAGCACTTTGACAAGGTCGCAGCCCGATCGCACCAAATTTTGTCACGCAAAGTTGCTAAACCTCTGCTCTTCAACTTAGCGCTTTTCGGATTCGGCTGGGGCGGCTCTTTCTTGGTGGCGGCTTCGGGCGGGCTGGGCCTTGTTCTGGAGTTCTGGAAAAGAGGGTTGGGGCTGGTGTGGGGTGGGAGTCTTAGCAAAGCTGGTGGTTGAGGCTCTGGGCTGGGGCTGCAGGCTGGGGCTGGGGAACTGGGCGGGAGGAGGCAGATGGGCAAGGCACCGGAAAGCAGCCGCGGGTTAGGGCAGGGGCAGGGGGAAGAGGGGGGGCAGAGGCAGGGGGCAGGGGCAGAGAGGGAGAGCTGGCCGGTGGGGGCGGGCGGCTGGGCAGGGGCCAGAGAACGAGACTGGGTGGAGGCTGGGGGGGGCGGGGGCTGGGCTGGGGCTGGCGGAGGCGGGCGGCTGGAGCTGGGCTGGCGGTAAAGGGAGCAAAAACCGGTGTAGGGGGCAGGGGCAGAGAGAAAGAGCTGGCTGGGGCAGGCTGGTGGGGGCGGGCGGCTGGGGCTGGGCTGCGAGCTGGCTGGGTCAGGGGGCTGGAGCTAGAGGCTGGGGGCTGGGTGGAGGCCACCGACACCTATTTAAGTTTTTAAAAATCTTTAAAATCTTTAAAATCTTTAAAATCTGAAAAGCTTGGTTTTCAAAAATTAAAGATTTTAAAGATTTTAAAAGCCTTTAAAATCTTTAAAATCTTTAAAACTTTAAAATCTGAAAAGCTTGGTTTTCAAAAATTAAAGATTTTAAAGATTTTAAAAGCCTTTAAAATCTTTAAAATCTGAAAAGCTTGGTTTTCAAAAATTAAAGATTTTAAAGATTTTAAAGATTTTTAAAATTTTAAATATGTGTCGGTGGCCTGGAACCCAGACCTAACGATTTAAAATTTTAAAAATCTTTAAAATCTTTAAAATCTGAAAAGCTTGTTTTCAAAAATTAAAGATTTTAAAGATTTTAAAAGCCTTTAAAATCTTTAAAATCTTTAAAATCTGAAAAGCTTGGTTTTCAAAAATTAAAGATTTTAAAGATTTTAAAAATTTTAAATTTTTTAAAATCTTTAAAATCTGAAAAGCTTGGTTTTCAAAAATTAAAGATTTTAAAGATATTAAAAGCCTTTAAAATCTTTAAAATATTTAAAATCTGAAAAGCTTGGTTTTCAAAAATTAAAGATTTTAAAGATTTTAAAGATTTTTAAAATTTTAAATAGGTGTCGGTGGCCTGGAACCCAGACCTAACGATTTAAAATTTTAAAAATCTTTAAAATCTTTAAAATCTTTAAAATCTGAAAAGCTTGGTTTTCAAAAATTAAAGATTTTAAAGATTTTAAAAGCTTTTAAAATCTTTAAAATCTTTAAAATCTGAAAAGCTTGGTTTTCAAAAATTAAAGATTTTAAAGATTTTAAAGATTTTGAAAATTTTAATTATGTGTCGGTGGCCTGGAACCCAGACCTAACGATTTAAAATTTTAAAAATCTTTAAAATCTTTAAAATCTTTAAAATCTGAAAAGCTTGGTTTTCAAAAATTAAAGATTTTAAAGATTTTAAAGCTTTAAAATCTTTAAAATCTGAAAAGCTTGGTTTTCAAAAATTAAAGAACCCAGACCTAACGATTTAAAATTTTAAGAATCTTTAAAATCTTTAAAATCTGAAAAGCTTGGTTTTCAAAAATTAAAGATTTTAAAGATTTTAAAAGCTTTTAAAATCTTTAAAATCTTTAAAATCTGAAAAGCTTGGTTTTCAAAAATTAAAGATTTTAAAGATTTTAAAGATTTTAAAATTTTAAATGTGTCGGTGGCCTGGAACCCAGACCTAACGATTTAAAATTTTAAAAATCTTTAAAATCTTTAAAATCTTTAAAATCTGAAAAGCTTGGTTTTCAAAAATTAAAGATTTTAAAGATTTTAAAAGCCTTTAAAATCTTTAAAATCTGAAAAGCTTGGTTTTCAAAAATTGAAGATTTTAAAGATTTTAAAAGCCTTTAAAATCTTTAAAATCTTTAAAACCTGAAAAGCTTGGTTTTCAAAAATTAAAGATTTTAAAGATTTTAAAAGCCTTTAAAATCTTTAAAATCTGAAAAGCTTGGTTTTCAAAAATTAAAGATTTTAAAGATTTTATTTTTAAAATTTTAAATCGTTAGGTCTGGGCTCCAGGCCACCGACACCTATTTAAAATTTTAAAAATCTTTAAAATCTTTAAAATCTGAAAAGCTTGGTTTTCAAAAATTAAAGATTTTAAAGATTTTAAAAGCCTTTAAAATCTTTAAAATATTTAAAATCTGAAAAGCTTGGTTTTCAAAAATTAAAGATTTTAAAGATTTTTAAGATTTTTAAAATTTAAAATCGTTAGGTCTGGGCTCCAGGCCACCGACACCTATTTAAAAATTTAAATTTTCTTTAAAATCTTTAAAATCTGAAAAGCTTGGTTTTCAAAAATTAAAGATTTTAAAGATTTTAAAAGCCTTTAAAATCTTTAAAATCTGAAAAGCTTGGTTTTCAACAATAGAAGATTTTAAAAGCATCTGAAATCTTTAAAATCCTTAAAATCTGAAAAGCCTGAATTGATATAGTATTGATAAACAAAGCAAAGCCATACGTCAAATAGACCCTAAAGGTCCTACGTACATATATATATATATATGTGTGTGTGTGTATATACACATACACGCGCGCACACACACACACACACATACGTATGCATGCGTGCATGCATACATGTAGATCTCCATCGTTTGTCCTCGGAGGCTGCCCAACTGGAGGCGGATGCAGAGGATTGCGTGTCGACCTTGGGTCGTTAACGAACATGCAGCCAGCAGGCAAACAGGAGCATTGCACAAATCCGTCTTCATCCGGAGAAGATTGGAACTGCGCGGAGTTGACACTCAGCAGAAGCAGAGAGCTTGTGTATTCTAGGCAGAACTCAGCACACACAAACCGGACTTTCACCTGCCAAGCGAGGAAAGGTGATGAGGAAGTCGGTGCACAGCATTTGCTCGCGTACTGCTGAGGTGATCAAGCTAGACCGTGCCGAAAAGCTGCTTGCTGGTCTGGGGAATGAGAGTGTACGGTGGAACGCGTGCCCCTCAGCGCTCCCGGATAGACGGCCTCGTCCGTGGGTTCTGTCTGATAAGCCCTGTGCTTTGATATCGGGTTGGTCGACCCAGTCGCACACCAAGGCTGCCAGTGAGGTGTTGGAGAAGAACCTGAAGTTTGTGATTGGAAACATTGTCCTTGCAGGCTCCAAACTGCTGTGCCTCTGGAAATGCTTCATGAAAGAGGTAGGGATGGTGGCGTCAGTGTATGCCAGGTGGCTTCATTGCGTACACAGGGCCTTTTACCGCAGAATTTCGCCGCAGTTTAGCGCGGTCCTGAGCGCAGCAGATGCACATTGGCCATCTTTGTGATGTGATGGTCCAAGGTGGCCAAGTGGAAGCAGCAGGCAGATGGTGTAGGTCTCCTTTGCGATCCCAACTGGAAGGCCTTGCCGGATGCCTTCACAGCAGTTTTTGAAAAAGCATGTCGGTACAGAGGCCGCAGATGTTCTGGTCGACCCCGCAGAGGTGGGAGATCGAGCCAACCTTGCACGCTTACAGCCATATTCAGCCATCGCGATCAGGTTCGCATGTGGAACATCCAAAGTCTCCCCTCGGACGATCTGTCGGTGGAGAACGGTCTGATGGTGGGCTGGCGGTGGTTCTTTGCTGCACTGTTCTGCGATGTCCCGCAGATCCGTTACTTGCTGGAGGTGACTCGCGGAAGACGGTGGCCCCTCATGGTGGACCCGCAGGGTCAAGCCAACCGTTGGGTTCGCAACATGGGGAAGGCTGGACGACAGTTGCAATGCGTTTGATGGGCAGTGACGATATCCACCCTCTGCTTGGCAGGAGAACAATATCATTATCACAAAGCTCTCCGATGGCACGTATCTACGCAAGCTAGAATCGCCAGATTCCAAGACTTCTGACTGCGAGCTTGCCGGATTCATATTCTAAATATACACCTTCGGGCACATGGACCCTTAGGAAGGGGACGCACCAGCGTGTAGGATTTCAACATTACTCGGAGCTGTAGCTGTCTGGTTTGAGGTCTGCAAATGAGACAGTCGCATCTCAGTTCAACTGATTAAATCGACGTAGACATCGTGGTCGACCTTCTCCACAGCGTGGAGTCGCGAAGTAGTTTTCTGCAGCTGAAACCGATAACGACCTGCTCGAAGAGTTTCGCCCAGCGCCATGTCTCCTCTCTCTAGCTATTATTACTATTACTACTATTATTACTATTATTATCGTTATTACTATTATTACTATTATTACTGTTATTACTATGGCGGAATACCGAGAAGTTCGATCGTGCGGGCAACATTCTGGAGGGCACTTTGGAAACTCATGGAAAATGACGATCTCGGAGGGTGGGATGAGGGAGCAGGGGTCACAGAGGACTGCCACTCCAAGGATTTCGGCTGATAAACGGCGGCGGTGAGGAGCAACTCTTCACGGTGAAGGGGTCGAAGTGTCGAAGCTTTGACTGCTGCAGCAAGCATCACTTCACACTTTCGGCATTCGGAGCCTGTCATTGAACCAAAGTTTGTTTGCATTTCGCATTTGGGGGAAATCTTGAAATCTGCCAAGATTTGCGAGCAGCACCATGAGGTAGAGTTGGTTCTAAACCCTCAACCCTATACTCTATACTATACAACTATCACATGAAGGTGTGTTTCCGCCTCAGGAGTCGGGCTGGTCCGGTAGTGGCCAGTCCATTGCTTTGGAAGGTTGTGCAGCTTTCACCGGGCTGAATGCCGTAGTGGCGTTTATGGCCGGCTTTCAGGTCAATGCAGTAAAAGCAATGATATACTATGAAAAGCAATGGACACATACTGGGGCGTCGTGCAATGCTTGTGCGCCTGGCATACCATAAGATGTAGTCGGACGTGCCCTGGCCTGGGGCTCGAGGTGCATACGCAACGGCCACTCCATCCTCATCGAAAATGTTGAAGAGGCGCGCCTTGAGTCTTATGCAGTGAGATGAGGTCGTTTCATGCGAAAGGTATTGGACCCTGCACTCGAGCCTGTGCTGACGAAAGCACTTTTCAAGAGAGGGGGGTCCGCCCCGCTCGCTTTTGGCACATTTCATTGTTGGATGGGCGAAGCAGTGAGCAACTCGCAAAGCTTGGGCCAGGCAGCTGTTGCTTCGTTTGGGAACCGAAGATGTGCCATACGACGAGAATTTTGTCGTTCTCCCAACTCCGCATTCCTTCATGCTTGGTTGCTCAACACGACGCTGCTGCTGAGGCCTTCTATGTCACGACTAAGATGGCAAATCCTCACTACTTGCCCGAGGTTTGCATCAAGGCTAGGTCGACACACAGCATGGTGCCTGGAGCAGCTGATGCACGCCCAATCGCTTGTATGATCATGGTTGAAAGCCAGAGTGTCCCGAGGGACCAGCTGTGAGCAGAGGTATGTTTGCAGTCGCAGCTTCATATTTTGAAGCTTATCGATAATGCTGGAGATAGAGAGCTTCGTTCAGCCGGGCAATGCCAGGTCACCGTCATCAACTTCACCGTCACTCTTCTGGGCCTAGAGGCCGACGCCTAACTTCCACCTCCCCTGTTTGGTTTTACATACGTGTAAGGAGCAGCTCGTGGCCGAAGTCGTCGGAAATGAGCGGCCGGACTTGGCGTCAGCCTGGCCTATGTTGTGTACGCAGCTCGAATGGCAGAGTTCCATGGTACACATGGCAGGCAACAGCGCCAAGAGCTTGTCGTGCAAATTGCAGCCGACAAGAAAACCCAGGACTGGGCAACTTGGTTTCTCGTAGCTGCAAACAAAGGTTTTGCGAGTTTCAGTCCGGTCACCGATGATATCAACCTGAATTTGATGCACCGCCGAGCGTAACAAGTGACTGACTTACCGCCGGTCTAGCCACCATCGCCCGACCCAGAAACAGAATCTGAAGCTTTCCTGCCGTCGTTCTTACCGTGCATGGTTGCAGGCTGTTGCATGGTCATGCCAACGCTTCCCCACAGTCTTTGCTAATGCTGAGTTTTGCGGTTTAGCGAATGTACAGGCAGGCAGATTGGTCGCATGGTTTTCACCGAGATCCGAACTCATCTTGCATCAAGAGCGAACAGCAATTTTCTGACCTAGGCTTTGAGGTCTACTGTTCATGGAACCACGTCCCCTCCACGATGCAAGTTTGTCAGGTTTGCACACCGCGACCATTCTTACAGCATGCAAGGGTTGATATCAAAGGTTTCAAGCACTGATTCTGACTCACTTCTGATGAGGACGATCTGGAGCAGCTCATCCTCAAACTACTGGCCGAGGCCATGTATGCATCTGTAGCTGATGAAAGCTCGTTTCTTGAACCTTTCTTTGTGTGACCCAGTCACTCGTAGCAGCAAGCAGCTCTGATTTTGAAGCGACCAGGCTGGCGGCGATGTTTTGAAGGATGACACCCTGATCGTCACCTTGGACCAGTTCAGCCCCCAGAGTCGAGTCCTGCGAGCCATGGCCTGTCGTCAGCTTCCTCGGTGTTGCATGGCATGGCACTGCATGGCATGGCTTCATTTCGCCAAGGTCAAAGCGAACTGGACTGGAATGCCAAGAACGGATGCAAGTGGCCGACAAGGCTGGTATGTGACCTATTGATTTGAGCATGCTGGGATAAATCAGGCGATGACGGAAATCGATGCAGTTCGGGAGAAGCTGAGACCAGTTGCGACAAGGCCTGGCCGACGAAGTTGATGTGAAGGATGCAAGCACGACGAAGTTGCGGATAGTCCAGAAGCTTGCAGGGCATCGATTCTCTACTTCGCGCACCTCGGACTGTCACGACTGCTCATTGACGCGCCTTATACACTAGTGTATTATAGTATACTATAATACATCATGGCCGAATATGGTATGGTAGATGATGGTTTGTTGCGGCATATTGTTGTACTGCAGCATGTTATAGTTCTCCGCTGCCGCCTTGCCTCTCAACCTTGGTGTGTCGCCAAGGGTCGCCGACTTGGCGAACATCGATCCCATGTATCAGCCACGGCCTCAGGCCCCTCAACAAGTGGCCCAGAAGTGGCGTGCAGTGCACAGTTCCTCCCAAATCGTGCCCTGCACTGCACTGCAGCGTAATACCTTGAGGTACAGTCTCGAGTTCTTCGTCCTCCTTTTCCAGGGCAGGCTGCGTGATGCCGAACAGTCTGAGGAAAGGGAGCTGGGGTCAAGAGCATCGGGTGATCGATCTCACCGAAAGCTTGTGCAGGACATCAACAAACGCATCGACATCCTTGTGGACGACTTCACGAGGCTTCCTGAACAGCGTCAAGTTTAGATGGGCTGGTGCACCTTGCAAGATGACGAGCCAATCGCTTGGGGAGGTTCATCTTCTTGAACATCTGCCGTGGCTTATTCGAGGACCATTGTGCTGAAGCTTCTGACGTGTGTTCATCACTTTGCCCAGTTTCGCAGTGCCATACCTATTTGCGCAACAGCTTGGTGACAGTCATGGAAGTCTTGCATGGTGCCCTGCGAGGACCACAAATTGCTCTTCTCCTTCCTCATCACCGTTCAGATCCTCAGAAACGAGGCGAGCCGTTTCATGAAGTCAGTGCGCTGTGTGCGCTTCGCGGTGGCTTCAGTTGTGCAGGTTCACTCGAAGTTCCTCAACAAGACCACCATCAAGCTTGTCCCCTAGTTCCACTGCAGATTCGAAAGCTTAGATTTTCTATGACCGAAGGCCAACAGAGTGGCTCTTCTTCTTGCGCAACGCCGAAGCAGGCACCATGCACAAGAAAAGGAGTTGAAATCAAGGATGTGCTTACGGCTCTCTTCGTGAAGGTAAAGGCGTTTTAGAAGACGGTGAGATCAGCGTGGCTTGTCCTGCCTGGGTGGACAAAACGGCCCGAGACTCATATGTATTCCTGCTTACAAACTTGAAAAGACTGTTTCTCCAGCTCCATGCTTTTGAACATCGCTCCAGGCTTGGGTGAAGTTGGACGTACTGGAGCGACTGACGGCACACAACGGCGAGATGCAGTTCGTGGGTCTCAAAGAGGTCCGGGTGCCGGGTGTCCTTGCCAATTCTGTGTCGCTGAGTGCATGCCTGCTAAAGATGCTGTGTTGCAGAACATGTCAGGACATGTGACTTCGAGCCAGAACCATTCAAGGGAGCGTTCTCGCCAGGCAATCGCAAAAGACAGCGGCTGGGAGGCTTTCTGTCGAAGTGACGACATGTCCTGCCCTTATTGGCCTGCGTGGACGAATTCTTGGAGCATCTGTCTAGCCCTAGGTACCAGCAACCTATGCCGAAGCCTTGGTCCGGCCCTAAGGGTGCTGTATGGGTTCCATGTGGCACCAACAAGGTGCAAGGCCGGCAGTTGGAACTGTTCTAATGGGTTTGAGGGTGAAGCGATGCAGCGTCCCCCCCCCGACGCTGAGATCTGTTTGGCTCTACGTAGTCTTTTCTTTCAGCTGGTTTTCGGTAGATCAACAGTAGGTACATGTATTTCTATATGTATATATATATATATATATATGGCTGCCCACAGCACACATGTATATATCTACATTTACACACACATATATATATATATATACATACATACATACATATGAACACATCTGTGTTTATACACAGTAAATGTCTGATATATGTGTAGATGTGTGATTTGTGCATGGGGGTATGCATGCAGACGCCTCCGTGCACGTGCCTGGCTTGCAGGGACACGAAGCTTACTGCATTCCAGCAAGCTTTGGTCATCAAGAGCATGCGCGCGGTCCTTATTTACCGACTTGTGCAAGACCAGGGTCAGAGCCTTCCGTGATAAGGAGAGAACTTCTTGAATTTCGTGGCTCGGAATGTTGCATGGACCCCAGACCAGGTGCAGTCTCTACTAAGTCTAAGGTGCAGTTCAGGAACGAAGCAGCCCTGCTGTTGCCAATCGCTTAGGTCTTCCATGAACTGGGCCAACTCTTCATCGAGCCAGGATCAGAGCATTGTGTGGTTGTACCACGCCATACTGTTTGCAACGTGCTCGCGCAGCATGTAGTTTGCACTCCACAGGTCACCGCCCTTCAACTTGGCGAGTTGCTACGCAGCCAGGGTCCCGACAGTTGCACATGCGTCTGCACATTGTGGTGTCGTGGGTAGCATGAATCTCAGCCTCCGGGGCCTTGGCCTGTGCGGATTCTGCAAGGCTGGAACGAGTGAATGGAATTTGATCAGTTCTGAGTTAAATCTTTAGCAACATATGCGAGGCTTCCCCTGGGCCTCGGGCGGCAGACCAAATTAAGATCCTGACCACTAAAAAAATGTACTACACTTACTGTACTATACAATACGATACTATACTAGTGTATATTACTACAGTGCATTATAGAATACTAACCACGAATTCTAAGCTGGAACTTGAGCTGGCAGTAGTCAGCAGGCCGAGCAAGTGTGAAGTCCTGAGAGCCCCGAACCCTCAACTGGGCTCTTGTTAAGGGGTTTAACTTAAGTTACCATAACAGGGATCTATAGTGAATAATCTGGGTTCCCTATTATGGCAACTTACATTAATTTCCTCAACAAAAAACCCAATCGATTGCAAACGCTTCGCGTCGTCCGCCCCGGCCTGGTCTCAGGTGAAGAGGAGTCTCCACATGGCGGTTTGCGAAAATAGGGGACCCAAATGTAGTACCCTAGCTAGTAGGATCCTTATTATAGGGGCCCCAAAATACGGTACCCCCCCAAGCTTCGGAAGCTGACAGTTAGCAGGTTCAGGAATGCACAAGATGAGGAGTATGGGCCCGGGGGAGGGAGGACTCGTCTCGGCGGGGCTTGGGAGAGAGGAGAGGAGACTAAGAGGAGGGGGGAAGAGATTCCCGGAAAGGAACGAGGGGGAAAGAAATGCATTTCAACATAGGTGTATTCTGGAGTTAGTGTATTGTGGTATAGTACCGTACATTAGACTGTATCATAATATATCAAAGTTGATGATCGCCTAGTGTTGTTTACAGCCAATGTAGCATCTTATTCTCCCAGGATTCGGTGGCCACAATGCCCTTGATCTTCGTCCTTTCTGCCGGTGCTGATCCCACCGAGTGAGCCTTCTTGTTGGGGCTCAAGGTCTCTCAAGCTTGGAGTTTAGGGCTTGAGGGTTGTAGGGTTTGGCATCTACCCGTGGTCTGTCAGATTCGGGAGGTTAGGGGTTTTAGGTTTCTTTGGGGGTTTTCGGTCCTTGGAGTTTGGGGTTGAGGAGCTTCCGATGTAGGGTTTATGGACAGCGTCCATCCGTAGCGAAGCCGGGCAGGTACTTGCTGACCCTGGCCGCCGAGAAGGGATACACCGAAAAGTTGCATTTCATCTCCTTGGGCCAGGGACAGGCAGATTCCTCTTTGAGATAGTAACGCGCAGGTTAAGCCCAGCTTCCCTTTGAGATGGCCGTGGGTAAGGGGCGGTAGGATTCCGGGTCTTTGGCATGCTCGGACAGCGGCTACAAAACCGGCAGATGTGCAGGGACCCAAAGCCGAAGCTTTGATCAAGCTAGGTCTGGCCCCTAGCCAGGGGGGGTGCATCGAAACTGCCACGTGTGTGCTTGTCTCTTCGGTAAATGTGCCAAGCTGCAAGGATGGGACACGGGAGACTGGGTCTGCCTCCAGAACTGTCACCTTGCAGACAGCTGGATGCCAAGGACCCGTCTCATGAGAGCACTTTCGAAGCACACTGACATGCTAGCAGAGACCAGCTACGTGAGCACAACCGGTGTTTGAAGAAGCTGCTGTCATGTGGCAGGCTGGAAGCAATCCAAGAGTCACAAGTGCCAGACAAGATCAATCCCGACTACAGGCCACTTCCATGCAGTGTGGGTGTGTATGAGCCATTCCGCGATCCAGCTTGCATCGCCTTTCGGGAATGTCCAACTCGCGCTGGTCTTCTCCTGCTTTAGTACTTTAGTCTTCCCACCTTGTATTGTCGTAGCACCTGAAGAGCGTTGATAGATTCTGGATTCTGACGGAGGCTGTGGCTGACGAGCATGCCATCTCCCAAATTCCCTGTTCCGGTCTTGCAAAGTGGCATCAAGATCACGAATGAGCCTCCAAAGGGCAGCTGGCTAAGCTGACTCGGAAGTCCATCTTCAGAAATCGCCGCAATGAATGAAGAATTGACCTGTAACAGGTTTGCGGGCCAACTTGGGTCGTACCTACCAAGACATTGGCGAGGACCTGTATGGATGCCGATCACGAGACCCGACACAGAAATAATTCGAACTGCTTGAATGGTTGATCCCCAGGATGTCTTTGAAAGCTGCCCTTCCAAGCCAGCCGAGCCTGGTCCTGAGAATTGCGAGAAGCCATGGGAGCTCGAGAAAGGTTGCTTCAAAATGCTCAGAGTCGTGCCCCAGGTTCAAGAAGCTTCTGTTTGGGCTTGCTTTCTTCCATGCAGTCATTCTTGAACGTCGAAAGTTCGGCCCGATTGGTCCGACCCCCGGCAATTCTGAAGTACCCGACTTTCGGCAGAGCGATGGCATTCGCGGTTGAGGTTGGAACATTCCCTATGAATGGATGGACTCGGACTTTCAGGCAGGCGGAGTGTGCGTGTCATTGTGTCATTGGTTGGGGCATTCTGCGGCACCGACCGGCCCCTGGGCTTCTCAGGTTTCTCGAGAGCAGGTCCGCATGTACCTGGTGTCCCAGCCGGACGTTCCATGGATCACGCTGCGGTGCGCCATGTGTCACAGACTTCGGCATCTTTGTGCTGCGAAGCTGTTTGGGCAAAGGTACATCATTGCGGAGGTGAACTATGGAGGGCGAGTAACTGACGACAAGGAAGTCTCACCCTGCTCGGACTGCATCCCATGCAGCTCATCGCCCGTGAAGCTCGCGAGGACGTGAGGCTCATCTCTGCAGTGCTCAAGGGCTACTTCAGCGTGCAAGCCTCAGGCAATCGCATCTGACAATGCAGGTGTGTGGTGCTTCGGGCTTTGGGGGCGATGGATGTTGTAGTCCTGATCTCTGCAAAACTCTTTGCAATCTTGGAGCCGAGGAGAGGATTCTGGAGAAAGGCTTCAAGTTTGCAAACCTCCAAGCCTGAATCCGAGCTTTAGGGCCTTCTGATGCTCGGAGTCAGACAAGCCTCGGGCAAGTCAGGCATATTGGATTCCTGAAGAGGGAAGCGCCTGACTCAACGTGGTGGTGTATGCAGCTGTGGTTTTGCGTCGGACCTGTGTGACGAAGGCCTCCAGGAAACCAGAGACTATCTCAAGTCATTGCCTATGGATGAGGACACCAAGATCTTTGCGAGTGTTTGGCTCTTGCACCCTCGCGCCGTCCTCTTTGTCACAAGTCCGCGTGGCAGAAGAGCCCTGATCTCCTTGCAAAAGCAGGTAGTTGCTTGTGCCAGGGAATCTTCAATTTGATGTTCCAACCTCCTTGTCATGCCATAGACAAACTATCATCCTGAACTTGTGATGCTGCACCGTAGGGGGCAATCATAGATCGGAGGTAGGAGCAGACATTGCCGAACGACCTGCTGCTCCGCGCACACACACACACACACGCAGAGATGTAGTTGCGTTGAGTCAAGCCAGTTGAAATTGATTGATGTGGCTGACCATCATTGAATGCCCTTCAGAAAGCCTGATGAGAGGCAGAGGTTCCTTTTGAAGATAGCACCAACCCCGTCTGGCATGCAGTATTTTTTTGAGCTGCTGTTTTGCGAGATCGGGACTGCCAGTTAGGACAAACAGGGGACAAAACCGTGCAAGCACATCCCCAGGAGCATGGCGCCCAAACACCCGCTGGATGCATTCGCGTGTTTGCAGACACAGGCGGCAGGTCCAGGTGTCAAGTCTACCAGCGGCATGTGCCAGCAGTCTGACATGGCAGCTGCAACCACATGCACTAGCGCTTTGGCAAACCAAAGAGAGGTGCGGTAAATAACCGAGGGCTGTGTGTGTGTGTGTGTGGAAGCGGCCACAAGCACAAGCTCTGTTGAGAAAGGTGCATGACGACCCTGCAAGTTTTCTGTACTCGGACAGTGTTGGATCCCTCCACGCCTCTTGACGACGTAACAGACGACTGTCAGGGGAGCGACGGGAACATCTCTTTGGGATTTTTCGGCCTCTAAACCAGGAAGCGTGCACACAAATGATTGCTGGATTGATTGACTGATCGCTTGGTTGGTTGATTGATTGGTTGGTTGATTGATTCGTTGGTTGATTGATTGTTTCGTTAATTGTCGAAAGACGATGCAGGACCCCCGCATTTTCGGGTACGGCGCTCATGTTGTGCCTTTTTGTCTTCCGTACCTTTGGCGTCCTGTGCTTGCGAGACTAATGCGAGGCTGCACCCAAATGCGCTCATCACAGCCCAGCCGGAGACTTGAACCAGCAGCTCCGAAACTTCGTGCTGTCTCCACTTAGCTATGTTGCCATACCTGAGCTGTACCAGGTTCAACCAGGCCAAGAAGTTCCTTGATACAGTTGTCAGCGTTCAGTCGCGGCCTTGGTGCTGGCCCTTGGACTGTAGTTAACCTCAGAAAGTTGGAACATGGGTGTAGGATGGTTGATGCTGGGATTCCCTATACTTAACCTTGAGGGCAGGGGTATCGATGTTCGAGCTTTCTGGCTTTACGTCGTGTCTTCTCTTCGCGAGTACACAAGCTCACCGCACTGCCAAACAGGCCTCGCATCTCCTCGGGCGGCGGTGGCAAGAAGCCAGAAGAAATTGTTGCGGATATGGCGCAGGACATGCATTGGTGCACCACACACCAGAGGCAGAGACATGGCCGTTGGCTGGTTGATTAAGCCACAGCTTCGGTCATGAAGGAGTTCTTGCAGCGAATTCCGGATGCGGTGAAGAGCAAGATGGCCCACGCTGAAACCTACAAAAAGACTCCTCAAGGCCCCCTGTGCGAACGAGCATCGCGCCGGCTTCTGCGAACTCGAGCCGGAGTTGATACAGGCGGGATCGTTTCCGTTGGCGTCTTCCACAGCCAGGCCTGAGCCGGGGTGAGATATGAAAGGACACCGAAACCTGGCCAAAGAACCTAAACCCTATAAACCCTAAAGTCCCTAAAGAACACCCGCTCTGCAGGAATATGCGCGCATCGAGAAGCTCATTAAGGTGGTGAAGTCCAGCCTGGTCATGCTCGGCAAGGCAAGCAGGGATCTACATGGAATCTGAAATCCACACAGTCGAATTGGGTTTAGGGGTTTAGGGTTTGGGGTTTAGGGGTTTAGGGGTTTAGGGTTTAGGGGCTTTAGGGTTCCGCCTAGTACCCCTAATTATCCTTACCTTGGTCGTTACAATAGCATTGTAGTACCCCTTGTAGCAATCCTATCGTAGCGATAGTGAATATAGATATGCAGGCCATCAAGGGTACGGTGCTCATGTCGGCGGAGCTGGAGGGAATGCCGCGCTCCAAACAACGCAGTGTGTCGTTCCGCCACACCTCTCCACGTGCCTTGCTCTGCGCTGCTTTGCTTTGCAGGTTCAACGCCTTCCAGGAGCAGAAGGTCCCGGGCAATTGGGGAAAGGCTCCCGCTGGTCTGAGAAATGACTATAACTATAACTGCTGGGTTTTTGGGATCATCACGCACCTGGGCAGGTTGCATATCCCTGCCTGAAGCCGCTGAACTCCTGGGTGTGGTGCCGAGTTAGGCCTGTTGGTTTGTGGATACTGCCATCAGGTATTGCAGAGCATGCACTCATGCCCGACTGAAGCGGCAGTCGTGCAAAAATCGGTTTTGAGGGGATGCCACCGAAAAGCTGCTTGAACACCTACCGACACGACACCATGGATATGCGTCGCTTCTGACCGGATGAAGTGGCCCTTTGTCATTGGTCGTGCAAATGAGCCGGTGCTTGTAACAAGGAAGGCTGATATGATCACAGCTCTGTTACGTCAAGATGAGTTGCTGATTCAACATCGGGTCGCCTTGTGGCAGAAGTCTCACCAGATTGATCTCTCTCCAGCTTTAGATAGACCCGATGGATCTGCAAACATGAGAAGCAGAATAGTGGGGCTCAGGTGGTAGACTTCATTGCCCGCATCGGCTTCTTGGTGAAGTGGCTGGTCGAAGGGCGGGGAACCCACTGGTTGATTGCTGTTCAAACGGACCCTAATCAAGCAGAGTAGACCCCGTTAAAAACTTGCATTGTGCCATAGGCCGCCTTTGAGCTACTGGATTTCCTGCTTCTTCTTTCCGCAGGCACGCATCGAAGATGATCGAAGTTTCCTTGCTCGTGTGCAGTCGCCGAAATTGCCCAGGGCTTCATGACAGCGGCCCTCCAGCTGCACGCGAGGCCTTGGATGTCAGGTGAAGTAATCCCTAAGCTTCCGCGACCGACGACCCCGCAGGAAGACGAAGATTCCCATCGACACCCTCGAGTTTTTTTCTGAAGTCACTTCCGCCTGGTCCTTGGAAAAGATCACGGCAAGGAGGGCTGAGGTCCAGTGCAAGGTACCAGGGATGCGCTAAAGGGATCTGCCGGGAACCGCCACGCGCCCTTGTGGAGCTGAGGTGCAGGACAGCACAACATTGCAAGCACCACCCCCGTGCGGATCTTGTTGCAGAGAACAGCAGCAACAGCCGTGAATGGTCGCGCTTTTGCCCGCGGGGCATGACCCAGGAACGGCGTCAACATTCACGGGCTCTTCCTTCAAGGATGTGGCTGGGTGATGGCCCGAGCAGTGCGGGCATTGGTGGTCTCAGCGGCACTGTTAGGGCTGACAAAGGTTGCAAGTTGCATTTGCCATCCCGTTACGCTACAAAGAATCGGCACATCTGATGAATCTGATCTGTCTTTTGGGCAATGGAGAACTGAGAGACCCTTGATATTGGTTCGTCGTCCCTCATCCTGGTGTCAGAGTCAAGCTAGTTCAGCATAAGCTCGGTTGCTCGCTTGATCGTCTTTAGCTTCGGTGCGCCGTTTGAATTGTCCGAGGACATGTCCAAGGGCTTGTTGAAAGAGTCCGACAAGGACATGTTACGTCTCTTCACAGCACAGACTTCCGTCAAGCCACATACCGTGTCGCATGCGGTACGAAGATTTGAGCTGCCTGAAGCTTGCAAACCTTTCTGCCGACCCGCGGAAAGCATGCCCTCGTACTGGCCGTCTTGGGATATTATAAGTGGAGCTTGATGTGTCTGTGTGACTGCGGAGCATACCCTGCTGGACGTAACGTGTCAGAGGACGTCGTGTTCGTTGAGATGCCAGTCATTCACCTAGAGCCACTGGCGATCACAGACAGCTCCAAGCTGGCCGCCCAGAAGCTCTCCGTCAAGGTTGCAAGGAGCGAATGAAGCAGTATTGCGAATTGTTCGATGTCGGCTGCGAATGTTGTAGCCCCGGTTTTCGTTCTTGTAAGACTGTAGACATCTTGAACTGCGTTTTTTTTTTGCACTGCCCAGGCGAGTGATCGACGGAAATCTGTACATGTGCCCGATCTACAAAACATCCGAGCGCAAGGCCGCATCGGAGTTTCTGTAATCAGGATCTTACTATTTAGGGCACTATATATATACATAATACATATATATATATAACTATATCTCACGTTTCTCACGTTTGGGGCAATGAGTCTCGTCGACGCTGCCCTTTGGGCTTGCAGGTGAAACTAATTGAATTGGAAAGCTTGTTGGACCTCCAGCTGTTTGCCATTCCAAAAGGCATGCTGGCCGTCATAGTCCCTTCTTTGAATGCCCGAAAGGCGAGAAAGGGTCTCATAATCAGATCCGTTGGCATCGGGGAGTATGACACATGCCAAGATTCCCTTCGACCAGAGACAGACAGCATAACGGAGAAGGTCTCCTGCCAGACAGGCCTGTGGCAGGTCATCTCCAATACTTGTGGAGGCACTAGCACCGGTCTGGCCACCAAATTTAGGTAGCCCGACACAGGAAAGGAGGTAACAGCATTGATCATCAGCCTCCTGCAGGAAGGCGAGGGGCTCGCCAGAGGAGAGGCCTTCAAGCACCTCCGGCAGTGAATAACTGACTGTACGTGAGCTCGGAATGTCGCCTAGAAAGGAGGAATCCAGGCAGCCAACACGAACCAGTACCGTATCCGGGCCTGGCGGCGGTGGGGCACGAAAGCTGACAGCCCGCAGGTCGAGTAGCTGTAGCAATTGCGCGCTTTGCCGGAAGGTATCACGTGGCAGAGCCTTGTATGAGGAGGTGGGTGCAAGCCAGTCAGCAAAGTCAGCTGTGCAGACCCACGCACTGAAGGACAGGAGGCGAGTATAATCGGGATCTCCCTGTTGCTCGAGACCCCGTAGGTGCTCGTTCCAGACTTCAGCGGTGATCCGGAGTCGCGTAAGAGGAAGGCAGACGCAAGCAAAAGAAGTGCGTATGCGCCGCCACAATTCCGGGTCAGGAAGAGCTGAGAGAGGTCCATCGAAGTCCAGCATACTGAGACAGTCTAGTACCTCAGCCGAAGGCCGTTGTGACTCATCCTCTATGAACTGGGTGCGAGGGTACAGGAAAGGACCCTGGGCTTGCACTGCGGGCTGCAGACATAGACCGTCGTCGGTTGCTCGGCGACTGCCAACTCCAGGCTGGGGATGGCTACGGGTGTCGCAAGAAAGGAGTTGGGAACGACAGGCCTGGCTGTAGCGGACGTGGCGACACAACTTGACATTGGAGGTGAAGTGGCGTAGGCATATTGGGCACTGTGTGCCATTGACAAGTCGCCTAACTTCGTCGACACGATGATGCACTTTAAAAGCGTGCACAGACCACGAGCGAAGGTCGGTGAAGCGGACCCCACACAAACCACAGACCTCTGCCCCAATCTGTTCGGTGAGCAAATCTTGAGGAGAGCTGGCACCGGCCGCGCGGAGCTGACGTACCAGAAGCCCCTGGTGATAAAGACGAGCTGCCTCACATCGCTCCTGCTGGAGCGCCCTGGCCTGTGCACGTCGGACTCTGGACTTCCACTTCCCGGGGTGGAGGCGGGCTTCCTGGCTCCAGACCGCCCACGCCTCCACATAGGTCTTGTGCTGTGTGCCCGCATCAACTAGCTGCCACACCCAGTAAACGGAGGACCGAACTAGTCCTAGCCAGTTGGCTTCCCAGTGGGCCAAAGCCCATATCTCAGGTGTAGCAAGCCGGAGGCACGCCAGCAGGAAACGAAGACGGTGAACGTGCAAAAGGGTGTCGACGGAAGGGAGCCCCACAAGGGCAAACACCCGGTCCGACCCCAGGTGCCACGCCTGTTCGCACGAATAGTGCGGCCTTAACATTTGGCATGCCATCCCGCGGATGGCATTATGCAAGATGTTACGGCATTGATCCGTGATTTTTGTCCAGGTGCCCGAGCCGTACATCAAGACAGAAGTGATCAATGAATCAAAGAGGGTGGCCTTATCTTGAACTGAAACAAGCGGCGAGCCGAAGAGGTGTCGCTTGCGTGCATTGAAGGCGGCCCACGCCTGGGCTGCCCGATGACGGGCCTCCCTTTCGAGTCTGCCCTGGTGGTGCAGGAGGCCGCCAAGGTGCCTATAGACGGGTGTGGCCCGCAGCGCGGCCTCTGGCCAAAGCCTACATCCCAGAGGGATGGTGCCAGAGTCCTCATGATGGACTTTGTGGCGAAGCGCCTTGGAACCCTTGGCACAAAAAGAAAGGAGCCCCTCAGTTTTGCCGCGACCCAAATTCGGCAGCAAGGCATGGGATAGGCATTCATCCAGCAAGCAGGCAGTGCCTGATTGTAGCCTGTCGTAAAGTGCCGTGGCGGTTGGAGCACACAGTAGCAACGACAAATCGTCCATCCACGTAGCATCAAGGAGCTCTAAGGTGTCGGTCGGGGGTGCATCGAGAGGCTCTATGCATCCAACCATTTTAGGGGTCCAAGGTACCTTAGTAGTGTATCCATGTTCGGACAGAGCCCTGCGGACTCTTGCCAGAATTTTGGCGAACAGGAAACTAAAAGTAAGGTCACTTAGGGAATCCCCGGGGCGTGTTCCGATAGCAGTCTGGATCAGGTCCGGCTCATTAGGAAATCGGAACCACGTGTCATGTAGAGTCTCGCTGAGGGCCCCTACGGTCCAAGGGTCGGCACCGGACTCTGCCGCAAGAGAAGGGCTACGGAGGTGTATCTGGAGCTCATGATAGACTCCCGGTGGCAAATTGACTGCCTGACAGGCCCTCACAATATCAACATCCGTCAAGGCGTCGGTAGTCAGAAAGGGCCTTGTAACCCGATAGAAGGCCTCTTGTAAATCTAGAAACACAACCCCATGTGACAATCGACGATCAAGGCAGGCTGCCTGGAAGAGTCGAGTGGCATGGGCCGGTAACGTGACAGGGAAGCCAGGAAGGCCGCCAACCTGGAGCGGTGAGACAACGGAAGCAAGCGCAGGCACTATAACTATATATATATATATATATATATATATATATATATATTAGGCTTCCATATGTTCGGAAACTCCCACATGTTTGATAGCAAAGTGCTGCACAGGTCTTTTGTGCCAAGTCCAACGTTGCTGTGCCAGGGGACACTGTCCACCACCGGCCATTCGACCAACTTTGTGAAGTTTTTCCCGTTGAGCCAAGACGAGGCCTGGTACCCGACAGCTGTGCCACAAATTGTCGCTGTTATCTACCATTCTCATCGTTGGCCTAGCATTGCGGTTTCAGCTTGTGTCAGGCAGATACTGCCCACTGGATTGCACGAGGAGAGCCTCGGATTGGAACACGCTTCTCTCTTTGATTCTGGCGGGCTAGGTGTGCTGGCACGGGCTCGATGTAGTAGAAATCACTTCTTGCTGCTCTGCCACCTCCTTGTCTTCTTCGGTATTGTAGAATGATTGGAACTCTTCAAAGCCGTTGTAGCAAACCTTGCTGAAGACGGTTGTGCAATGACGTGCAAGACGTTCGCACATGGATGAGCTCAATAGTTTGATATGATGATTTGGGTGCTATACCCTCTTAAATGACGACAATAAGTGGACAGAAGGCCCGGCACTCTGTCTGTATAAGTTGGTGGTGGGCCCAAGTAGTCTAGCAGTGGTTGGCACAGCGCAGTATAGTACACGACAGTACAGTATGGTATAGTAGAGTACAGCATAGTATGGTGTAGCATAGTGTAGTGTGGTTTTGCATAAAGCAGTATAAAGTAATTCTGTGACAGCGGCATATTAACCAGGGCCAGCAAGGACTTCAGGCAATGAAGCAAGATGCCCAGCACCGTTGACAAGCCAAGGTAGCAATGCTTTGCATGCTGGACGACTGAGTGGGGACCGCCAAATGGACCGCAGCCATAGGGGATTTTCCGGTGGACCCCTGCTTGCCAGCAGCACCCAGGCCAGTCACCCTTGTCGAACTAAGCTAAGCGCAACTGCTGCACAAGGGGAACAATTGTACCCTTGCAGATCCCTTATAGTAACCCTTATAGACCCTTTTAAAGGGAAGCCTATTCTGATTATAAGGCATGAAATTCTCTGGTAGCCACCAGGCCGCTGGTAGCATGCTTCGCAGACAGATGTCTCCGAGAGAATTCATGTTTCACTGTTGCGAGCCGGCCAAAGGCATCGGCAGTTTCAGATAGATCAGATTTCATCAGTTGCACGGTGCTTTCATAGGTAGTACAAAATATGCTATCTAGGTTCGCATTGGATATGGCGTTCGGTCTGAACGGCGTCAGTGTTGCGCAAGTATGGTGGGACTATCCTGGGATTGCAGACGAGCACGTTCGGGCAGCTCCCGAGGAGAGGTAGCCATGGCGGCATCGTAGCCAAACGGTTCGGCCGCCGCACGGCTATGGTTTGAAGGACAGCGAGGTGTGACCGTTAACGTGTGAAACACAATGTGCCTGTGCAACGGTAGAACGTCAGATGCGTAGTTGCATGTTCATACTTATGTTTACAATTCGAACTAAAGCACACGGAGTGAATCCATGTAGCCTATCGCACCGTCTTCTGCAGAACCTATCGGATCGTGCTACGACGGTAGCACTGATGTGTCGTCATGAGATTTGGTCAAGCCTCGGATTCATGTGCCTGGATAAGCTTGAAGCATAATTGCGGAGCATGAGGATGCAACCGATAAAGTAACTAGTCACCCTACACCCCAGTCTGATGCTTAGGCCTCTGCAGGACAGTGCCTATGGCTGACACAAGCATGACGGTGCAGGATCACAGCAGCTCTCAAATCCAGCAACCCCGAAAGCGGACGAGGTCATCAAACCGGTCTAGCTTACTTCCATGGATGAAGCAGCATGCCAAGCCTATGATTATGGGTCGGGGACTCAGGTGCGACAGGGCACCGTTTGCAAGGAGACAGAAGTCGACTGAGGGTGCGATCTCCTGTGCGAGATGCCTGGACACCAGAGACTGAGAAGCCCGCGCCTCAAAAGTTCAGCTTTGCTGCTATCAGATGGGGGTTTCCGAAAATAGGGGACCCTAATATGGTACCCTAAATAGCAGGATCCTTATTATAAGGACCCCAAAATAAGGTACCCCTAATTTCGGAAACTCTCAAATGTCGATCTTCATTGTACTGAGGCCAGGTCCTCTGCAGGCCAGGTCCGAATGCAGCGACCGCTTCATCCCGAGCAGAGCTGCCAGAGCCTGAGTCAGCGCGCCGCCTTTTCCGAGCAATTGAGACCTTACAGTAGAAGGCTTCGGACCTTGAGAGTGGGCTGACGCTGCTCTCAGAGCCTGCAGCCGAGTTAAAAGACATCTCCATGACCCGATCGCAGAGAGATGGACTTTCTTCAGGAGCTCGCGGCCACCAGAAGCGCGCGACGAGAACAACTCGGTGCCCCATCCCAGCATCTGAAAACGCAGAGCCGTCTCCGGACTGGCCAGGTCTACGCGCAACTTCTCCGGAGCGAGTCTGGGCCTCGATCGTCTCAGTTCCGCTTCGTGCCTTCTTCCTTGAAAGAGAGCTGAGGCTCCTTGGGATCCGCCCGGGCTCCGCCGAGAAGGAGGAAAAGCCCTTTAGGCGGGGTTCCTTCTTTTGCAAGAGGTGGCATGAGAAGTGCAGAAAGTGCTCGTTATCCCGTCAGGTCTCCCGACAGCAAAAGCCTCTTCAAATACAAGAGCTGCCCGCAGGACGGTAGTCCACAGGACGCAAGACATTGCAAGCCCTACAAGCCTTGTTCAGGTCAGTCACGAGGATGCCTTTTCCTTGCGGCGTCCTCAAGAATCAATGTTTCATGAACCGTCACAACTGTTGGTTGTTGCAGCCATATCCATGCTGGATGAGGTCACCCGTTTCCTTCCAGAGCAGCCGCTTGTCAGCTCCTGAAATGTGGGGTAGACTCCGCAGATGCCAAAGTCTGCCGGCTGATGCCCTTCTTCAGGCTGAGCACGCCCCGAAAGGCGCCAAGAAAGATCGCAAAAGTGCCCTTCAAGGCAGCAATAAGCAGCATGTCCCTCAAGCCCCAATTGATATCCTGTGGCCGCCGCGGGCAAAGGGTGATGCGTCTGCCAGGTCTTGGACGCTCCTCAGCTGCAGGACTGTGGGCCCTGGGTCGTTTCTCTTGCCCCTGCCACAGTCCTGCCATGTGCACGCAGGACGACTTCTACCTGAACCTGGTAGACTGGTCCTCTGCAAATGTGCTGTCTGTAGGCCCTGTCCTTGGTTCTGACTTCAGATCTTGCTGTTGCCTGCACTGCTTCAAAGGCGGCCTGCCCAGGAACTACAGCTCACACGCCAGGTTTGCATGCACAATGCAGCACACGGGCCATGCGAAGAGTTGCTGAAGACCCAACAAACCTAACAAGTTGCCTCTGTACGCGTACTTCCGCTCCTGACTAATCGATCTCTTCATACATGTTTCGGTTAGGCTTTCAGACTGGGAATGACGCAATTACACCTCCTCCCTGAACCCAACATCGCATTTCTTCCTGAATGTTCTTCTCTGTCGTGGGTTAGGTTTTCCTTGCACACGAAACAACCGGTGCGGAGAGTAGTCGGGAAGCGTGTACCATGTGCTCTATCAGAGCCTCCCGCTGCTTGAATAAGTGCGTCGACCCGCCCAGCACGAAGAGCACAACCTCCTGCTCCGTGGTATCTTTGCATCGAGCTGCGCCTCGTCCTGCAGGTCTAAGCAACTGTGTGTACCTCTGGAGTGCCTGCACCAGTCGTGCCTTGATCTCAGCTGTTGCACAATATGCTCAGCAAGCCTCTTTTGTCATGTCAAGTGCAAGCAGCAAGAAGGCTTGGTGTGAACGGTGGAGTCATTGAACCAACACGCCAGTATGCCCGTAAAAGATTGGCAGGAATGAGGGCGCATTGCGTACTCTAGGCTTTAGAGTTGCGACTTTAAGAAAAGGGTGGTACAAGTTACGGCCGCAAGAATCCTCATCGTAGGCATTGCCTCAGTTCTGCGAAGCTGCTCTGTGGAGTTATCTGCAACCTTCCGAGATTATACTGAAAGAATCAGCTGGGAAGGCGTGCTTTTTGCGATGGTCGTTCCATGAAGGAATAAGACCCGAGACACCCAGTGTGCTGTTGCAGAGTCGTGATAACTGTGCAGTTTCAATAATCTTGCTGACGCCTGCTTTGTCTGCCGCTCAGCTGCGAATGCTCAGGTCACCAAGCTCTGTGATTTGGGGCCGGATGATACCGTGACCTCGGTTTCATGGACCCAGAGGGGGGCTCACCTCGCCGCCTGGATCCTACTCTTCCGGTGCCTCGAGACTCGCCACGTCAGACATGGCGCAGCTGGCCTGGCGAGGTTGGAACGAACAAGGGCGAGGTCCAGATCTGGGACTCCACGCAATGTCGCAAGATGCGAACAATGTCCCAGCCTCAGGTCTTCCGAAAGGCCCCCGAAAGGCGCTTTCTTCGCAGAAGCCCAGGAGTGGACATCTGGGCAGAGTTGGCACCATGGCGTGGAATGGTTTTGTGCTGCGTGATCCTTACATGCAACAGAGCTGGAAGTTACTTGTAGATCTGGCAGGCAGGGTCAATTTTGCTGAGGTCCACCGGGAGCAGGGACCACCACATCCTTCACCGAGACGTCCGCCAACCGGCACCCTTCATGAGCCGGCCTTACTGTCAACATACCACCACAATATCATGAGCTACGCGGGAGTTTCCGAAAATAGGGGCACCTTAATTTGGGGTCCTTATAATAAGGATCCTATCATTTAGAGTACTATATTAGGGTCCCCTATTTTCGGAAACTCCAACGTGTTGCCACGAGGTCCAAGCTTCATGGCCATCGACAGGAGGCCCGAAACCTTCGTCGCGAGTCGTGTCCGTTTGAAGTTTTTTCTGTGACTCTTTGCCGCGGGTGCCGCTGTCGTGGGTTTCGTGGGCCAGGTCTGCGGCTTAAAGTGGTCTTTCGACGAGCAACAGCTGGCCTCCGGTGGGAATGACAACAAACTCTGCGCTGCGACCCTAGGAAGTTGCAATCTGCGACCCTCAGAAGTTGCAATTCGCCCTGCATGGGGGTCCGTCTCCTGGCGATTCCAAGGTTTGGTCGTTGAAATCCACCGAGCCGGTGCTGAAGTTCAATCGCCACCAAGCAGCCGTGAAAGTGCCGAGCCAAGAGCTCGCTCGGTCCTGGCCCTGTAATTCGGTACCCTGGTGTTCGAGGCAATTGCGTGGTCCCCACACCAGCGCACGCCTCAGACGCTTTCCAGAACATGGCCGCGCTGCTTCAGACCTAAACCCCAAACCCTAAAATCTTGAAACCCTATAGTACCTTGATAGTACCCTTATGGTACCCATGTAGTACCCTTGTAGTACCCTTTTCCTACCTGTTTCGTATCCTTGTAATACGCCCCGATGGCCTCAGGCACGGGTTGCTGGCCTCCGGCGGCGGGACGGCAGACAGGCACTCCGGCATCAGTGTAGAAACTGGGGTACGATTATCAGGAAAGCTGCTGCAGCTTTGGGGGGTTCAGGTTGAGAAGAATGTCCGATTAGCGGTCCAGTTTTGTACTTCCCTGGCGAGTTTAGCATCCATTTGGGCTCTCTCGTCTCGTCGTGCTGGCGCTCGAGATCTGGCCTCGGTTAGTATCCTATTTCTCAAGTCCTGGGTCCCAGACTTACTGCACACAGCCGGCAGCACACCCCCGACACAGCTACTTCGAGCATGGTTCTGCGTATCTGACCTGCTGTGACATTATGAATTTTGTGATGGGATGCTGGGCGGATCGAGGGGTCTGTATCGAGCAGTTTGCGTTGCTGAACTGGGCAAGACCATGTGACAAGAGCTCCTCATTGAAAGCCAGGTGCATCCGTTTCTGGAACACCGTCAACAACATGCCTTTA